AAAAGGGAAAGTAACATTATAAACAGAAAGCACCACTTGAATTTTAATTATTCAAAAACAGTTGTTATGGAAACATTGGCATCGAAGATGCGATGACAAGTGTGTTTGATTCTTTGATAGGTATAATTTATGCGATTAAAGAAATGGAGCCATTGGGATAAAAGACAGAATAGTGGAAAAAGATTTACATCAAATTACCAAAAGAAAAAGATATCCAACACTTCTTCTGCAAAGAAAAATTATCTAAAATGTTCGATACATCATGATTTGTATTCATATTCATAACGCTGTCTTATCAAAAATGCACCGCTGTGCACTTGCTTATTCTCTAGGCTCACTGATTTATCAGATAAGAGGCGAAAGAGTACCTTTATACAACAATTCACTTTTGCTGAGGTAACCTTTTGCCTAGCTTCAACCCGAAAACTGGGATGGCCTCTTTGCAACCCCGCAAACGAAATGTGTGCAAATTGTTTGTAAATAATAACTTTTGCTGACTCGGTACGTCACAATTTCGGGTGATGAATCTTGTTGAATATATGATATATATTTTTTTATCCCTTAGGCCATTTCATTCAATACAGACAACAATTTGTTACATTGTTAAAATTATTAGGATAGTGGGGTTATATAATAAAAGTGGCCTTGTTTTGCCAAAATTCGAACAATCGCTATTTCTTGTTGCCTTCTTTTTTTGCTATGAATGGGACCTTGAAAGTTTGTGGTACACTGGAATGGAGGAGACATAAAATTGACTTTTGCTGAGGTAACCTCTTGAATTATCTCAGCTTCAGGTTGAACTTAGCCAAATGGTGACCAAAAGAAAAAGCCTATTTCCACTTTGTTCCATGATCATGGATTTTCAAGGTATGTGAAAAGAGCGCACATTTATTTATTTATTTATAAATATACCTCTGTGCCAATAAAACAATGTTTGGTAGTGTCAGAGAAATCAGAAACACTAGAAAGCAATATCACATGTCAGAATGCCAGCGTCAAACAATCCTTCGTGCTTTCTAATTTCAATGTAAATTTTTGGTAAACATTGGTTAAGTTCAGATATCTCAAACGCCTCAAAAAAATAGTTTTGAAACACAAATTATGCCTCTAATTTCCAAAATAGTTCATGATTTAAGCAAAAATGCACTATATCCTTACCCTTCAAAGAGGGCCATGTGGAAGACAAGTGCACGCTTAGCATGCTTTACACCTTTTAAATTAGGTTCATTATTTTTATCATTATCATGATTATTATTATCACAATAAATTTTTTTTGGGGGGGAGGGGGCTCTAAAAGACTTTATCTTAAGATCACTTATATTTATATAAGTATTTTAAATAAAAAGGGCGAAAAACTAATACGCAAAATGAAGACATTTATAGTGTTTATAACGTATCAAATCCCTTAAAGATAAAGCAGAAGCAGAAGCAGAATTATAAGCTTCTGTGTAAAAATTGTATAAAATGCACGTTTTTTTTTCACAAACGCTGAGTTGCGATTCACTTATCATTATGCAATGAAATTTATAACAGCAGTTCTCACCTGGAACGCAGTTTTGGGAGTCTGGTTCAGAAGGGTCCATCATGTATCCTTCATCACACACACATGACCATTTATTTGGACAAGGTAAGGCTTTACCTTCTTCATTGGTCGTATTCTTGCAGTGTGTCATGTTGTTTTGTTCTGTCTTGCAACATCTCGAGTTATCCCCGCACACAGGTTGACTCTTGCGAGTTGCTGTAAAATAAGTTGGTCAATGAATGGTTTCATTCTAGAAAATGGTAACAATGTTAATTGGAATATTTAGCTTTGTAAAACGTAAACTAAATACTATGAATTATTCATGTTTATAAGAATAGAAGGCCAAGTCGTAGTCGAATAATAGTATTATGTTTATGAAACAGAGACTTATATAATGTTTGTCTTTCTAAACATAAACGAAAAAAAAATTCTTTTCACTGTGTAAACTTGTAAAGTACCATTTAAAAATATTTTAAAGGTTTTTATACCTTATTGTTAGCGTTCATGGTGCATTTGTTTTTTAAATTTTGAAATCAGTCGTGAAAATTCAAAACTGCCATTTTGAAATTTAAAAAGGAGTTGACACTTACCTATAAAAGCACCATCAACTGCATACGCACATAGTGACAAAATGGACAAAAGAACAAAAAGCACCGGGCTGGTCATCTTCATGTTTAGTTCTGAAGCTGCTTCTGGAAAATTGCTGATGAAGTCAGTAAGAATGTGGATCCCTTGAAGGGCTAGAGCAGACTGAGCCTTATATAGGTTATTCCCAATGTTTGCCATTACTGTTTTAGAGATTTTAACCAATCATATACTCGGAAAATGACATTACATAAGGATATGTCTTTTGTCCTCTGTACTTCTAGACACAGTAAGTGTTAGTTGATAATATTGGAACTATTTTACATATAATCCTTCCTGGCCTAACAGATGGTTACACAAGTGCTTTGGAGTATCTTTTTCTTTCTTTCTCTCCAATATTTAGTGCCATTACAAAAAGAGGAATGTTTTAAAGGAAGATATTGGTTTATAAGATTGGAGAAAGAATATTCTTTTAAACTTATCTCTTGAAATAATTGGTTTTAAATTAACCAAGATATGGTGTTAAGGGTGTTCTAAAGTCTTGGTAAATATGATTCGATGCGAGATATTTTGCCATTTCAAGGTAGAGTCAAAGTTTGCCTTTATGACCTTCTACAGGCTTTAGAAATAGATATAGTTCAAAGGATTTTAAGTAAAGCATCTTCACAAGTACACACAAAAACAAACACTCTAGTATCTTCACGAAACACTTCAGGGGGCTTTACTTTAAACGATGGACTTATTGATTATTAAGGCTTCGTTCACATGCAATGTCTATTTTCTATTTTCTATTTTCGGTATGTCTTATGATCACGGTCTGTGCACTNAGTACTATAAGTCCTATCCGTGTCAGTCTTAGACCCCGTACTTGTAGTAAAGGCTGATCGCTGCCTACTCATTCCCACAGCTGCCCTCCCATGTGCCAGGATCTCCAACCTCCCCTAATACTTAATTCAGGGGTGGATTGAGGCTGTCTGCTGGGTCTTCCGGAAGGCGGGCAGATTTTCAAGTTTACATTGACGGGTGTCTAATTTTTTCTGTCGATAGACGATCAAAAAGTGAGAATAGATCAACAGATATTTTACTTTACATTTAAAAGTTGACAAACATTCCAGAAAAAGTACAATTGTAGAAAGACAGTAGCAGCTCAAATGGAGATCTTTCAAACTGCGGCCATTTCGCTTAACAGGGGAAAAATAATTTGCTTTGGGGTGAAACGAATTGAAGAAATTCAGGAAAGAAGTTCTCGACATTCTACTGGCATTTTATCTGGCGCCTCGTATATGAATTCCTATAGATGTGCCGTCGGTTTACCAAGTACCTTCATAAAGTTGAAATATCAAATGATTTTTCAAAGGAAAACTTTGTTTTATGTAGGACTTTGTAGTGCTTAGTGACTACCAGTATGTTTTGCAGACATTTCCAGACAGAAGGTCTTTAATTCACACTAAGCTGTTTGGCTTGGTTTATCATTATCAGAGATAGAAATGTTTCAAGTTGAAATAAAGGAGTAAGTGTAAAAATTTCTCGGCGACATTCTACGTTACTTGTCTCCTGTATTATCACCACAGCAATCTTATCTAACTTTCCACACCGCTGTTCGGTGTCTTGGCCGATCCGGACCGACCAAATTACATGTATATTTGACATGTTTTTGTTGACAACCAAATTGAGAATTGTAAATCTACAGCATTTGACTGTCGATACCCAGCTTTTCAGATGTTCAGTTCTGTATACTTTAATCTTTAAAGTTTATAGTGCACTACAGGTGCGGATCCAGGATTATTTGAAAAGGGGATCCTCCCCTAACCCCCACCCACCACCCCCGGTTGGCATGGACCGCTGAAGGGTAAAAGTTTTGGTATTTCAGAGGGCGAACGGTGCCATTTGGTACGGTTAAGTACAAAATCAGCTAGTCAAAATTCTTCTTCTAAGAGGGGAATATTGGTGTGATTTTTTTCACAAACCGAAGTGGGGTTTCTTTCTTTTCTTTCTTTTTTTTTTTTGAAGGTGTGCAGGGGTCAGAGATGACATTGGTGATGAAATTTGACGAGAAAGGTTGGACATGTAAGTCACTTTCCAGACATACAGTAGATGTAAGTAATTTAGGTAAAATACTGTACGATCGAGTTGCAAACCCGCAAGTGATTTATCTGGCTCAAACCATTGTGGTTGGCTACTACATGCATATATGCTGCCCTTGCGATATTTTACTCCTACATGTACTTGCAATCACATCACGAGGAAGAACCATTGCGAACACTTGTCTGAGACGCAGTTTTTTTGTAAGTCTGTGAGAGAGAAACTATCCAAGATATTTATAGAATTTCATATTAGTCGCCGGGCGTGGGAGAAACATGGTCATCTTGGGGGCCATTTGTGATCATTTTTAAAAAATCTATGAATACTATACATATAGGCCTAATATTAGGGGCCGGGCCTACATCACAATATAAGACATAGGCCTATATAAACATTTATACCAGATGGGCCTGTAACGCATAAGAAATATTTTACACGCAAATGTCAAAGAAATATTTCAACAGTGAAAGATTCCTAAAAAATATAAATAAATAAATACATGTACCATACTGCAGAACAATACTTCTTACCAGATGACAATTATATGTGGGGATATTAAAAAATATTTCTTATGCGTGGGTATTAACTTGACCAAATATAAAGATAAGTTTTTTTTTCACTCATATACAAACAGGCATGTGAGTCTGTCTTAAGTTTATCTTTTTTTAAAGACAACAGGAATTTGTGTTCGTTCTTAGCCCTCGTCCATGATAACTTTATGCATTTCCCCAAAATCCACCAAAACACTATACGAGCTTGTCTTGGCTTATGAAGAGTAATATAAAGGAGGCAGGAAACTGCCAGACAGTTGGCGGGAGAAACAAATATGGCGGCAGGTAGGTCACCCACATCCGTATGGTCAATATGTGTCTGTATAGAGTAACACTGGCCAGATTAACTTAAAACACACACGTCTGTGTGTGTGTGTGTGTGGGGGGGGCTAAAACATGCTAATACATTTTCGCCAGCTCGTGTTTGTTTGTGTCTACATCACGTCCAAGTTATTAGCTGTTTAGTTTAGTTTACCGTACAAACATGTACTTACATTTTTTGAAGTCAAGAATTCATGCGTTTATTTGCCACTGATGGCAGTCAGAGTGACTGCTTATGCAGGAAAAAATATACGTATAAAGACATTACATCATGTATTAGTACATATATATTTGTACAGATAAAATTTCTCAAATACATGTATCTTTGCTTTAAGAAAATCAATGATCATGATTTCAGTCAGCCTGTAATGGGTTTTTAAGTAGTATTTTTTATTTTGCTGACATAAGGTATTTTATGGAAACCTGTAGGCACTATCAGTAAATAGCATTAATGATCAAGACAGATTATAATTTGACTCTTCTCTTATTGAGTTGTAAACTTTAAAATAGATGCCTATAAAAATATTGCACCAGTTTCAGAGATTGACAATTTGATAACATGGCTGTTACAGAAGAGGGTCATCTAAATGCTTGACGTGGTCAGTTAATTTTGATTGGTACAATGGGGCTTGAGAAAGTTACCTAACCCCCCTCCCTCTATAATTAGTTTAATAATGTGTTAGGCTATGTCTGGTACAGTATACAGTAGATTACTATGAGGCTTGGTATGAAAAGGGCTTAAATTTTTTGTTTGTAATCCACCTTTGACTTCGTTTCCCAGGTTTCGTGACACCTTTATAATCTACTGAAAGAAAAGGAGTGTTATTTACATAGACATTGCAGTTAACATGGCCAGGAGTAAAAGGAAATCATCAGAAGTTGACAGTGCAACAACAGTGCAAGGTACATGTACATGTACTTTTATTTCTTGATTTATTTTATCTTTCTTAGGGTCGGGGTCACATGTGTTTGTATGCATGTGTGAACTCTCTCAACACCTCACATGTACAGTTCACACTAACATGTACTCACATACACACACAGCAGGCACACACCCATTCTATGGGAATTATGCTTTAGCATTGGATTTGGCCATAAAAAGCAGGACACCCTGCTCCCCCCCCCCCCAATATAAAAATACTAATTAAGTCAAAATGTCTGTGTTGAAATGCATTGTCATAAATAAAATGCTTTTAAAGGAAATATCCTCTTTTTCATAGAGGTATAGTTAAATATGCATTTGTGCCAGTATTTGTGTGATTATATCAGAAATTGTTATATATTTCTCTCCTGTTTTTATTTTAGCCAAGCGACAGAGGTCCAGTAGAGTTGACCCATGTCCAGTTCAGGAAGAAGGTCTACTTGGACAGTTGGTCAGCAAAGCTGGACTGACCATTATGTCTAAGAACAGACCAAATGAACTAAGTAGGTGACCATCTAGGATTCTTTTTATTTTTATTTTTTTTGCAAAGTTGCATGTGTTGGATGTTATTTTATTTTTTTGCAACTGCTGTAAATTAAAATTGGTGAAAAATGAGTTAAAGAATGAAAAAAAAAAACTTAATGAATGAAATAGAGATTTATTCAATAATATGCTTATTTGTCCCAGTCTTAGAGTATGAAAAGAAAGATCATTGTTATTTGACTATTTTAGGTAATAGGGCTGTTTTGACTAGTTATGAATTGTGAACATAAAACAATTATGAACTTTTGCTTGCAGCCAGTATGATGTTGTACAGACCTCAGCCAGTTATTTTATTTTTGGTTTGGCTATAGGTGTAGACCCTGCTGTATTCCAGAGGAACCTGACCTTGGCTTTGAAACGACATCCTGATTTTCCGATGGTAAGACCTATAGAAAGAGTCACATTTGATCTATAGAAAAATGAGATTATGATGGGCAGATTTAGATTTAGATGATCGTTTTAGAGATATTCAGATTTTTTTCCAAAAACAAAAAGCAAAAAATTAGATTTACTTTTCACTGTACAGCTTTGAACCACAATGCGTGTTATTATGTATTATTTGCTCAATGACATAAAAATATCTTGGTTTAGTAAATTACCATTAAATAATAACATCCAATTTTCTTGAACAGGTGGTTGAAGAGTTCATCAGTGCTATTCAGAGTCATATAGCTGACCAAAAGAGGTAAGTAAAAGAATACTGTATAAAATTTTGCCATTTAAAAAAATTTAAACAATAGAAAAAATTAAATGAATGTCAAGTGTAGAATTTTTTGGACTGGTTAAATAATAATGTGGAAGGATGTCAAGTGAAGAATGCAGAGAGTTAAAAATTGTGAACTGCCCCTAATTTACCAGCAGAAGTTCTTTGAAGTAACATTTTAAAAACAATGCGCTTGTTAATTGTCTTGATGAGTTAATCCCTGTGATTGCAGTGACCTAGTCGGCATTATAATGATTCTTTCAAGAATAGGATTTTAATTCTGACAACAAAAACTTAATAGAGATGAAAAAAAATCTGATGAAAGTATAATGAATAAAATAATGTGTCAGAAGGGAAAATTTTGAAGAGGTAAACTGGTCTGTAATATATTTCTAGGTTTTACTGGAGTTTGATGCCTACGGGTGTGGATGCGGATAGTGAGAATGTTTCTAGAGCAGGAGCACAGGACAGTTTGCTTAGGCTCCTTTTGGGCATTGATCTGATTCAGGTAAGGAATGAAGTCTGTTGTGTTTCATGGTTCTGTCTATTAAAGAACGGAGTCTTCTCAAGTGTCCATTTTCCATTCAGTAATTTATAAATCATTGTACTTTTTTCGATAACTGTGAAAATGTTTTATTTTACTTTAAAAAATATTGACTTGTTTTAGCCTGCTGTGATGAAGATGTTACTGGAGAAACTGCCAGAATTCACTGAAGATCAAGAGTAGGTATCAGACTGTAGATGGCAGCACCTTACATTTACTCCCAATTCCAACTTTGATCTCCTCCATGAAACCACATGTAAAAACTAAAAGCTTTCTTGTCAGGTTGGCACACCTAACACCAAACTACAACAAATACATTTTTTTGGTGATAAAATTAATGTAATCTGTTAAATTATATGCATAGCTTATATGCATATATTTAGATTTTTTTCTTTGCTTTTATATCCTGACTATAGATGGAAGCACATGTACATATATCAGATTTAAGACATGACCTTTAATTCATAGTTTGCCTTTTGAATTTGATAAATTATGAAATGAAAGTAAGCAGATGTAACCTTGGATGTATTGTAAAGTTAGTTAAAGGTTCAACTGGTATGTTCCTTTTTTCCATATACTGACATTCCTGTTAGTATGATGGAGTCATGGATTTCTTTACTTTCTGAATTTCAATATAGATATATCATGCAGATGTAGATATAATTGTGTTATCAGTTCCCACGATGAAGCATAAAATGCAATTTCTTTCAGGTCAATTTTTGAACAAGGAGAAAAAGTTGACATGCCAAAACTGATAATGAATCAGTTCAGGTGGCTAGACAGAATAGTCAACAGCAAGGTAACTTTAAATTGCATGGAGTTATTTGTTTAACACTGATATGTCTGTCTGTTCATCCGCCTGTCCATCCATCTTTTCATCTATCTAGCTGCTGCATTGGTATTCAAACTTGACACCATGTTTTTACATGTTGCATTGAAGTTCTAATCTAGCAATTCAGTTTGAATCGATCAATATCTTGGATTGTTGTGTTATTCATAAAAAGTAAAAGTATGATGGAGTTCACAAGAATTGTTTTTAGTTAACTATGTATACATAATGCTGGATTTATGTTTCAAAGACTTGTCATATAAAATATCGAATTAAAGAAAAAGATCACTAAATTTGAGTGAAAATGAATACAATTTGGCACATATGAGAATTGTTCTAAAATCATATTTGAACATAGCATGTTTTACATCTGTAAATGCAAGGATTTTTTATATGTTCTTGTTATACCCCTATATGAAGAAATTAATTAATATGACTGCAGTTTTTTCTCCCCTTGAAAATATAAAAATGGATATAATATTGTTATTGTTATTCACAGGAACTGACAGATAAAATGATGGAAATAGTGAGTATTTCTTCGATGGATGTGCAGAGAGAGGTGATCACGTGTATACCTGAGGTGGTAGATGACACAGAGCATGGAGAGGTGGCACTGCAGCTCAAGTAAGGGGAAAATGTTCGTCTGTCTGTCTGTCTGCACATTCACTTGCGGAAATTTATGTATCTTGGGTGTGTCCACAATGAATCTATCATACTTGCTACTCCACATTAACTCTATGGTAACTTGCTGAATCATATTATGACTAACATGCCTCCTCTTGTTTCCTACGTGCTGGTATAATCACCAGCATTTCTATATTCTACTCAATGCCAGGAGGAAGCTTGTTAGTCTGTTTCTCTGGTTGCAGTAGCTATTAGGATAGATTCATTGTAAACTCCATTTTTTTTTAGAAGTGCCAGGAGTATTGTCAATAAAACGAGATCTATAGGTAAAGATTGTTTAAAATTAAGATTACATGTAACATGATGACCATAATTACTGCAGAAGTTTGGCAGTAAATTTTTTACCGTTTCCCATGCTTTTTTCTCTTAAAATATATTAATTAGTTTGTCTTTATTTCCAGGGATTTATTGACAGATAACAACCAGTTGATAGTTCCAATTCTTGATGCTCTGTCAAATTTAAGTCTTAAACCAGAACTGGCATCAGAGGTGACACCTACTTTCTATTTGTAATATTTATAATATGATTTTTTTATAGGTTAATACTGTACGAAGCTTATGAACACTAGAAAAGCTTTTTTTAAAGGATATATTATAAACACATTAGATTCAAACTTTCATTGCTATTCTGTAAGGATTTATATTATTATAATATCAATAGTTCAATGACAGAAAGTGATCAAATAATATATTTAGTCAGTTCGAACCATGTACCAGCAGTATGACAGTTACATTGTGAACACAACTTAACATGAATTTTTTTTTAGATATCCAGATTCACATGACTTGTTTTGCAGGTGAAGGAGTCAGTCCTGCAGAGTCTCCCATCCATAGAACTGGACGACCTCCCGGTAGTGGTCAAGTTCTTACTGCAGACCGTGACCAGTCAGGACGCTCTGGACGTGGTGTCCGAACTGAGAAACAACTTGGATTTCAACTCCAGCTTCCCGCCTACTTCATCTTCTACTCCGCATGGAAAAAGGGCTGCAACTGGAAGGTTGATATTGTACTTAATTAGTGAAATGATTATCATGTTAATTATAATAATAATTATGATGATTATTAATAATTATATAAATAATCTAATTATTGTATTATTTTACAGTTCATATTATTATAATTTTAATATTATCACTTATTTTAACAAATAATCATTATTGTAATTAATATTACTACTATTGTTTTTGTATAAAAATCTTAAGATACTCATTCAGAAGTGAATTTATTGCAACAAAGGAAAAGACCTTTACAACTCACAGATAAATGATCAGAAGATTAAACCATTGCTGCAACTTGGACCTACAAATATTACCAAAAGTCCTGAGTTGTTTACAAACACAGAATTTCTGAAACTGATGATTTATTTCGAAATATATTCTTAACAAAACTTTACTCTCCTCCAGGGCAAGTGTGGCTCCAAGGGCTCCGCGGGGTGTAGAGGCGTTGACCTTGGATGCCATCAAGTCTGCAGTCAGGTTTCAAAAGAATGTGGCAGAAGCATGGATTAAGGTAAAGGATTCGTGCTGACAACAAGCTGTAATAAGATAATTTACAAATAAGATTTCTAAAAACCAGACAACAAGATTTTCAACCATTTTGACTAGTTTCATAGGACCTCAGAATAACTTGTGAAAAAATAGGTTTCATCATGGTTTCTTCAGGTAGTACTCCTGAAATCTCTAGGCCCACTGCAGATATCAGTTAACATCCAAATGGTGGCTTTTGACAGAAGTGCTGATGTAATTTTTTCACTTTGCTCTCATTGTTGTCAGCTGTTTTGTTTACTGTATTTTGTTTACTGATTTTTGTTTAATTTTTAAAAATTTGTTTACTTATTTGTATCCAGGCAGTAGAGAGTGTTAAGACCCCCGGGGAACACAAAGTAATAGACATTCTGGTTCTGCTCGTGCTTCACTCAGCCAGCGCCAACAGGAAAAAACCAGTGGAAAGTCTTTTAAGAAATAAAATCAGGGCGGGCCACTTCACAGAATTATTGCTGAGAGCAACCTTTGGGTCACATGGTCAGGTAAGGGACACCTGCTTAGGTCTAGCGTGGATTTTTTTTTGCCAAATGCTTGACTAGTCTTATTCTAATTTCACTAAGTAAAATGTAAAATATTTTATTATTTGTATGTATCTGTCAAAATGATATTGTTCATTACATACATGTATCTACTACAAATAAAAGCTAACTACTGAAAGTATCATAAACATTTAGTTAAGATGAATAAGCCTTACTTTCTTTGATGTCTTTTGAATGAACAGAAAAATAGTAATATTTCACTAGGTTATAAACTGGTAGTTTGGTAGAAGAATCAGAAAGCTACCTTTACTACGCATAATAGTAATTTTTAGAACCAGCTAATTTGTCATTGTAATGTTTTTTCTTAGGTGCTGAGGGACTATTTTTCCTCCATCTTGTCTCTGGCTGAGGTGCTGTTGCGCTCACCTGAGCCAGCCGTGGCTTCCTTCGGATGTGCCATCTACAGACATGCTTTTGTCACATTTGACACTTACTGTCAACAGGTATATTACACTGTCATCTCTGACATGCTTTTGTCACATTTGACACTTACTGTCAACAGGTATATTACACTGTCATCTCTGACATGGCATTGTTGAAATTCACATACTGTCAACTTCACATTGTCCATGCTGATATGCCTTTGACATATTTGACATCCACTGTCAATAACCACGATACCTTTTATCATAAAACATGTCACAGTCATGTTTATCTCTTATAGTCAAGAGCTATGATGGCCGGCCATACACAATGTCAATGCTGTCAACTGACGTATATTTGTCACATTTGACTTATATTGTCAACAGATATTGTGTCATCAGCAGACATGTCATTGTGACAGCTGGCACATACTGTCAACTGACACCCCATTGTCACAATTGACACATACTGTCAAAACTATGGCACAGTACCACCATAAGACACACTGACATCACATTTGACACATGCTTGACATAATTTATTTACTGTTTTCTCCAGGAAATAGTTGGTAACCTGGTCACCCACATAGGGAGTGGTTTTCCCGGAGAGATCGACTGCTCCCTGGATGTGCTCGCTGAACTGGTGGAAAACAACCTGGAGAAGATGGTGCCATTTGCAATATTTGTCAAGGTAATTCTGAATTTTTGCCTTTTTTATTTTGGTGAAACAGACCCCTGATGTTGCTGGAAAATTTGCCACAGCTAGTATATGCTAACCAAAACCAAAACTGAAGCAAAATGATTAGCTTTTGAGAAAAGACTCACAGTAAAAAGATCATGGCCATTTAATAAATACACTGTAGTGTTATGTGTGACAACTTAGTTATAGGAAGTAAAATTTGATATGTATTTTCTGCCATTTATTTCCAGGGAGTTTTAGATTACCTTGACAACTTAACAATGACCCAGATCAGAAAACTCTACGCCATGCTAAGTGTGTTAGCTTTTCGGAACTTCAGAGATGGGGGATTGATTCAGGTATGCCTTGACCACCACCGAGTTCAATACTTATTGTTAGAAGTATTCATTAGTATTTTGTTTAGTACAACTTTCTTCTTTTTTCATAATAACTATTAAAGACCTTTAATCCTAGAATATATATATCATCGAGTATAATTACACGTTTTACTTAATTTTGAAGTTTATTGTAACCAAAAAATCATAATTTGTACAAACAAAAAGTTTATGTATAAAACATTGTCAGATACTGTTTATGTTGATATTGCACCTATCATAAAATGTAAAATTTTTTGTTGGTTTGGTATTTAGTTTTATGCTCTAGATAATGGTACTGAGTTTGCTGATATGTTAATTGGATTTTTTGACTTGATTAATTGATTTAAATTGTATGGGGTTTTTCTGTTTCTTTAGGATGATATGCACATTCTGATCAGAAAGCAACTGTCAAATAATAGTACAAAGTGAGTATTTGCTTTAGGAAGGCAGTGGCAATTAAGAAAAAAACATCATCAAGTTAAGTGTCAAAAAATAAATATTATTTGGTCACTGACCTATACTTAATTTTGCTTTTAATTATAATTTTGAATTGATACAAAGTATTATTAAGTGTTAATTATGGAGCACTGGTCTTCCTCTGTAATTCCGGTATTTAAAATTTTTACTGATATATACTCAACATTTTTAATTGGGAAATAGTGCTCCGAGTTTTGTGAAATTTTGTATCAAGCTTCTTAAATTCTGAAGACTGCAGTCCTCTTGTTGAGATTTGGCTAGCATTCATAGATAGAGGGTGGAAAAAGATTTACAGACATAAATTATTATATTTCTAGATATAAGAAAATGGGAGTCATAGGTGCCATGATGGTTGTTAAGTGCCTCTCTGCAAACAGGTACAATTTTAATCACATTTTTATAATTTTAAATTTGCCTCCATGTTGATAACACCAAGCTTGTAAAACAGACTTACATGTCACTTCATTGTCCATGATAAAGAAGCATAAAGCTGACAGAATTATTCATCACTTTATAAATTTAAGTACATTGATCAATTCATCATGATCTAATACAAACAGATCCAATACAAATGCAAAAAGTTTTTTTTTCTCAACTAAATCCTCAGCCCTGGTGGAGGTGCAGACGAGTCTTCCACAGAGGTGACGATGTCAGACGAGATGTACAATCAGGTGGTGTCGTTGCTACAGTTAGTGCGCGCCAGTAGTAGCAAGAGTCCGGATGCAGCGGGTCTCTTCATGGATGAGCTGGGTAGTGTGGTGGAGCGAGGCGAGATAAATCAAAGGATCGAGGTGTGTTTTTCACGACTGTTACTTATTTAGGGATCTAAGTATTCTAAAATAGCAGTTTTGTATTGCAGTTTGAATAACTTTGCTGTGAGTCATGTTAAAACTTTGTGAAATTGCAGCAGGCCAATCAGAAAAAATGTGCAAATATGGTATCTTGCTGATCTGGCAACATGCTGACTTCTACATCAGATTGATGACATTATTTGAGCATTTTTGATATTTTTATACTTGTAAATGCCCCATATTATTTCAACAGATTTTATTAGATGTATTGATGCAAATATATTTACATATATTTTTTTCTTCTAAAAAGGCCTGGATCAGTGAGAATGTGATCAGTGACTTCCAAGATGATTATGTAGTGGACATAGAAACAGGGGCCCCTAAAGAGTGAGTACATGGTTTTAAACACTTGTTATTTTAATTTAAAAATATTAAAAAATATATTTAAAAATATAAAGCTGAGGTTGTATTTTGACTGAAAACAATTATATTTCCTTGATAAAATACTGTAATCAAGTTTTTTCCTTCTTACCTGTTAAATATAATATCAGTCCAATTTTCAGGGTCATTTTGTCATTTCAGTCCTTGAAATAAAGTACAAAAAAGTTGCAAAATTTCACATATTAATTTATCTCTCTCTCTTTTGTAACTTTATGTAGTTGTCTCCCTTCCCTGATTCCAGAGATGGAATGGTTCCCATGACACTGGAGTATGGTTTAGATGACACCAGTGAGGGCACCATAGCTGTTAATATCCTGCCTCTGGTAATACAAGATTACAGGCACAGGTCTCACTCACTGCACAGTAAGGGGAAGGAACAGGAGAGGTAATTATGGTAGTTAATTTCACCTTCCTTCTTGCCTGCCTCTCACCTTTTTACCCTGCCCCACTCCTGACTGACACACACACGCACTAGTGCACACACACACACACACACACACACACACACACACACACACACACACACACACACACACACACACACACACACACACACCACCTACACACACACACACACACACACACACACACACACACACACACACACACACACACACACACACACACACACACACACACACACACACACACANTTATATTTCCTTGATAAAATACTGTAATCAAGTTTTTTCCTTCTTACCTGTTAAATATAGTATCAGTCCAATTTTCAGGGTCATTTTGTCATTTCAGTCCTTGAAATAAAGTACAAAAAAGTTGCAAAATTTCACATATTAATTTATCTCTCTCTCTTTTGTAACTTTATGTAGTTGTCTCCCTTCCCTGATTCCAGAGATGGAATGGTTCCCATGACACTGGAGTATGGTTTAGATGACACCAGTGAGGGCACCATAGCTGTTAATATCCTGCCTCTGGTAATACAAGATTACAGGCACAGGTCTCACTCACTGCACAGTAAGGGGAAGGAACAGGAGAGGTAATTATAGTAGTTAATTTCACCTTCCTTCTTGCCTGCCTCTCACCTTTTTACCCTGCCCCACTCCTGACTGACACACACACGCACTAGTGCACGTGCACACACACACACACACACACACACACACACACACACACACACACACACACACACACACACAACACACACACACACACACACACACACACACACACACACAGAAAAACAGAAAAATAATTATGATAATTTTAAGTTTTTAAAAGATCAGAAAAGATGAGGATTTATCCATAGGATTTGTCTTCAGTGTTTTTTCTCTTTCAGACATGTGTCTCCCCTGTGTTTATCTCCACAGTTTAGAGTACTGCAGATATGTGAAAGGCGACAGCAGCAAGGGGACTTAGAAGGCATAGATGCTTTACTAGGTAAGACGATCTGTGCCAAAACATTTCAATCTACAGGTCTACTACCAGTAGCTTTTAATAGCCTGCTCACAAAGAACAGAAACAGTCATGTATAAATATTTTGATTTGATTTTAATGGTTTTTGGCAAGGGACTAGTGATAAAGGCATACAGTGCACACTAGAACTTAAAAGTTATAGAAAAAAAATAGTGGAAAGTTTTGTCATTCTTTTAATCACCAATGTATACCATTGAGATAATTACTTTTAAATTTCTCACTCATGGTTGAAATTTGTATCATCCAAATTGCAGTATATATTTTGACCAAATAATAATATGAAGTAATTCAATTATAAATTTAACAAAAATTGTTTACATTCTGTACCATATTGGAAGCTTTCAAGCAGTTAGTTAAATCTATCATGCATAGTGGGTTTATGCTCTGAGATTTTTATGCCAGTTGAATGAACTTTAATCTGGAGGAGAGTGATTGTGTTAGCTGTACCGGTACATTCACCACAATTGAGTTCACCACCTGTCATCTGGGTAGAAAGTAAATTAATTTTTCATTTCTTTAATTTGCTTCTTTCTGTGTATGATCTATTGTTAAATAACTGCCTTGATGTTCAGGTGCATGTATAATTTCAGATTGTCCGGTTTATTTCCCCAAACCTGAAGTATTTGAGAAGTTTCTTAGATATTGATGTCTAGTTGTATGTATAATTTCAGGTTGTCCGGTTTATTTCCCCAAACCTGAAGTATTTGAGAAGTTTGAGGTTCTCTCACAGGAGGAGAAAACAGAAGTTTGCACCACTCTGTTCCACACTGTGAACTGGTTCAGAGAGGTAATGACAACTTAGTTAATTTTACTCTGTCTTTTTCTCACACTGCTGCCTCAATACCCTCATTTTGTAAGGTGTGATCATTTCCATTAACACTTATGTACTATTATAGATATTTCTGCTTCTTTTTATATTCCTATTGTTTAATCATACCAACTACTGACAAATATACACGAAAATACAAAGAGCAAATTATAAAAAGTGGTCCATTTTCACTCGATTTTGCTGAAAGTAGTGGGAGTGTTGCCTCCACTACAGACCGGAATCAGTGGATAGATTGAGGTGCAATCTTAGGAGAATGAAACTACTGCAATAATTTGTTGGAAAATTTTTTTGAATTAAGTGAATAGATAGTAGAAAATGAGGCTATATTGACCTTTGTAGCCACTGAAATAATAGAGATGCAAAAAAAGAAAGATTATTATTAAAATTAATTAGTGTAAATTAGTGTAAAATTTTTAAATTTTTACACTTTTAACTTATTTCCCTTAACTGTGTGACATATATACCATTTATGTCTGATTGTTTTTTATTTATTATTTTTTATACCTAATAATTGTAATTATTATTATTTTTTGAAACCCTTATCATGTCAAAAATCTAATATTAATGTTAACTATCAATTACAATTGACTTATTCTGCCAGGTCATCAATGCATTTGCAACCCAGAATGACCCAGAAATGAAGGGCAAGGTCATCACTCGGCTTCAGAACATTACACAGACACATAAACTGATGGAAAAATGTTTGGCAGGTAAAAAAAATGAAATTTTCTGATCACAGAACTCTTTTAAGTATTACCTAGTTCTCAAATCTCTACTTAAAAGCTCCACTTTTTCAGAAAAAGAACCATGGCCTGCTCCTTTTTGAAATTCCTGTAATTACTTCTAAATGTTCAGAAGATGGTACAATTCCAGAAGTGGAGGAGACACAATTTTAGATTTCTTTGCTTTGATCCCTGATAACAATTTATATGTGTTGTCTCTGATTATTTGTAGCCACTTTGACCTATGCACCACCTCCAGCTCACTTTGATGTAGACGATGGCCAAGACAAGCCAGTGTCCATGTCTGGAGCAGTGAAAAAAGGAAAGAAAACAGCAGGAAAAGGGTATATTTCATAAAAAAAAAATTTTTTATGATTTTCTAAAAATTTTGTTACCTTCTTACAAAAAAAGTTTGGGAAGCAAAAAGATCATAGTTGTACACTAAAAAGATCGTAGTTGTACACTATTCTATTAATAGAAGGGGCACGTGATTACCATATACTGAATAAATTACAGGGACAAATTAAAGCACTTTTAAATACTTTTGTTAGATGTTTGTCCATGTGGAAGTTATATTTCAACCAATTTCATTCATCTTTATAATAGGAGGAAGAAAGAAAGTAGTAGCATATCCAAAGACGATTCTGATGAAAGTAAAGATTCCACACAAATTGAGAAGGTACTTGATAATGTTTATTATTGGATATTTATTTATATTTATAGTATTGGTATCATTTATATTATTATATTATAATAATGATGAAATGCCTGTTAAATGTTCATGGTATAGAGTTATAATAACAATTGAGGATTCATAGTTGGAATCATATAAAGTCTGGCATAATGTAGAAACAAACAAGAATTTTTAAGGGATTTAGAGGAGAGTGGGGTCAGATATAATGGCAGACTGGCAAGTGCAGCAAATAAAAGCTGCCATTTTTATTCAGAAATATTTCCTGGTCATTTTCTTGTTGTTTTGTTGGAGTACAGTCTATTGCACAAATGTCTGCATTCATTGTGATTTATGGGTCACTATTGTATTGCTGTCTCAGACAATATTTTAACTTCATAGAGTAATATATGCAGTAACCATTATCACTTAAAAGTTGACCCCACCTTAAGTGGAATTTTGCACATGGTTTAGTCTCGTGTGAAGTCATGCCAGGGACAGATTTAGGCCGTCTTCTGGGTCTTCTGGAAGACGGTCATATTTTTAAGTTTACATAGACAAGTATCTAATTTTTTTGTCGGAAGGCCGTCAAAAGTGAGGATGGATCAACAAATATAATTTGGAAGAAAATATATCTGGATCCACTCCTGCATGCAGTGAAGACAGCCTCATTTTGGGTTCTGTCACATGTTCCCTGTTGATATTTGATAGTGGGAAAACACAAAACCTAAAATTACATTGTATTCCTAGGACTCTGAAATTATAGACAAGGAAGATGAGAACGAGAAACAGCAGGTTGTGGTAGATTTAAATCAGTTTCGACACTTTTTCAGGTAAGAATTAATTGCATAGATTACAATTTTTTTCATTGGTGTTAACATGGATGAAAAAAATTGCAGTGATGAATTTAAAAAAAATTGTAATTTTGCCTTTTTCCTAAAATAAAACTCAAGAATCATTTTTTATAAATGAAATAAATAATTTTACCTCTGAGTTACTGTAGATTATTTTAAAAATTGGTTTGTAAGACAGAATACTGTCATCAGTCATCTCAATTTGATATTTATCACATATGTATTTCTGATTATTTAATGTGATTATTCATATTTTTAATTTATATCTTGAAAATGTAGAACATTTCGCAACTAACATTATTTGAAAACAAATGTCTGCCCTATTACTTATCTTTAAATTTATTATTTAGGGAACTGGACCTTGAGGTCTTCTCCATTCTCAGCACAGGAATGATAACCAAATCTGCCCTTGACTCACAACTCAACACCAGTGTAAGTTTTACCTCTAAAAATGTATTCTAATCATTTTGTTTAATTTAGAAATACACACAGGGAAGTTTGTTTTGAGGAACATGTTATTCATTGATGCAAGATCATTTGAAATCAAACTTTGAAGCAGATTAGAATATTGCATATTAATTATATTTTGTGATTGCATAGCATTTTTTCATATACAACTGTATATAAAGCTCTCCATTTTCAATACTAGTGTCTTGTAATCTTGTTGCTTGAATTTCAATATTATGACTTTAGGGGAAAGATTGTGAACCACCTTAATGAAATGTCCTAACTGGGATTTTCTTACAAAATTAAATTTTCCTTGGAAGAAAAAAAAAAGGGAATTTTGTCCTAAGTCATTGCTCATCTCATCTGTGCACTTAGATTCATTATTTTATACCATATTTTGTAATTCTGAATCAACTGGCTAGACACTTAGACTTCTACAGTCAACCGCATGCTTAAGAATAAAATGTTGACATAAAGTGCTTCTATTTTAGGGATTTTCTGTTCTTTTTTTAAAGGTCTGAATTGGAAAACAGCTAAGTACGTTTGCATGATATGCAGACACAGAAAATATGGCTTTGGGACATTTTCAAATGCGGATAGGATACCTCGAACATAAGACTAACATAATACCTGCTCTCGTAAATCCTGAATACCCATAAGCTTTGATTTCACCTAGGCCTCCTCTACCAACCTTTAATTTTTGATAACAAAAAATTATGGATTAAGAAAACAAGGAGGCATTCTTCAAACCTTATATTAATTCCTTACTATGTATGCTTTCTTTTGAAGCCATGCGATAGCTTTTAGTGGTAATAATTTTGTTATCGTATATGACACACATGCGCAAAGAAATGTTATTTTAGACATGAATTGAAAATGTAGCATTTCTTTTTTTATTGTGAAAGTTGTTTTTAATGTAAACATCTTAATATTTGATTACATTTACTTGGTATCAGATGACTGAAGGTACCTGTTAGTTTTTGCATGGACTCCGATATAAAAGCAATAATTGCACCTGTCAGAATAAAAGTATTTCCCATATGATTCTTACTACAATATCTGTCAGGTAAATTATGGAGTAGTGGGTACTGAGCTGATTCAAAAGCTGGCACAAATTTTTTTGTCTGAGCAAAATTTTAAAAGATGCTTGTTAATGCAAATCTTAGATGATTTAATTCATTTTGATACTCAGAATAAAAATAAATAAAAATGCATGATAATGTTGAAATGAATGTATAAACATGACTATTCTTACATGTTAAGCCACAGAAAAATATTCCTTTTGTTGGAATTTCTGTTTTCCTAAATATGCCTACAGTGGGTATATAAATTTTATATGCAAGTATATATTCAGTTATGATATTTTCTAACTAATAAGTTAAATTCATCTACTATATCACAGTACTGAAACAGTCACCCCTTCTGTTTCATTCTTCTTTGCTGTACTTGGCAACTCGATCTCCAAAGAGCTTGGCAGAGGATATTTTTTCTTAAAATCGTCCAGCTTTCCGTCAATCATGGTCAGTCTTTTTTCATTGATAACCATGAGCTCTTTCTTTGTTTTTGGCAGCGTTTGTGATAAGGAGGGTAAATCACTAGAATCGAGGTGAAAATGTTTGGCAAGTACGGACGGTGGGACTGATTTTGGTCTGCTGCACAATGGTTTCTTTCCAGAACTACATGACTCCATGGTATCTTCTTCAGCAGAACTATGTTCCATTTCTTTATTTGTAAATCCAGCATGGCTTACGCTTCTTTCATCTGCAAAATGTACCCGTGTTGGAGACCGAGGTTGACCAGTGCTCGATTTTTTGGAACAGGTGACTTTGACACATTTAGGTTCTTTAAGTTCTTTGTCCATTTTCTCTTTGGCTAGTCTGCGCAGGGCCTGCAGCCTTTGCATCATGTTTGCATATTTTCCGAGAAGATTTGTAGTTTTTGGTCGGTCATTTTCCATGGTTGGTGTTTCATTAGCAGGCTGTTGTTTGGGGTCATGCCCCTTGAGAATTGTTCCTCTGTTTGCCCCATCTTTGCTCATGGTGAGACTTGTGGTGGCTGGAGCGGACTGACTCCGCGCCACCCGTATTCTGCGCAAGGTGTGCGCCACAGTGCTATTTCGTTCATGGCTTGCACTAGAACTCCCTTGGTCTGATTTCACAGATAAAGATCTCCTCATTCTCCCCTGGTTCAGCTGTTTCTGTATTTCTCTGGTACAGGGCTTGGGCATGTTCATTTGGCTGAGTGAAAATGGATTCTTCAGCCCCAGCCAGGCATCCCTTCGCACTGTCCTTGGTATTCTTACGATTGGTTCTTTTCCCGTCCCTTCTTTCTGAGAATCCAAATCCACTCCTTTCATCCAATACGTGATTTGTTTCTCAATGTTGGACAACCGACTCTGCAGGCGACCCTCTTCGTAGTTGTTAAGGCGCCATGCATGTTGGACTCTTGACGAGCTTACGCTCGGTCTCTCTTTCTTCGGTGGCATGTTATATCAATATTCCTTGATTGAAAGGGTATTTATTACTAATCTGTGCATCGTTTTGATTTTCCTCTTCGGCTGTGAAGGATGTGTCTGTATCTCCTCATTTGTTAGCATTATTGACGCAAGGTTCCTAACTTCACAATGGATTCACAGTACAGGGATAATACTCACTATTTCCTACAAGGTCTTGTCTTATAAACAGGATTGGTATTGATTAACTTAAAAGGTGAAATGTAAGATCCTTTGTCTGTTGTTTGACTAGCATAGTAGCCATTTGGAGATTGTTTTCCTGCTTTCTTTTCATCCTCTTGGTATATCATTTATTTATTCCGGATTGGCATTCCATATTCAATTTGACAGTTCAGCCATACTGGAAAACATGACTTCACTTTGAAAATTAAAATCAACTTGCAGTCCTCAACTCAATGTCCATCTTGTAAAACTTGTAAGGTGTAGCGTAGATTTGAATGTTATTTCCCACCTTATTTAAACTTTTGACCAGGTGTCAAATTTCATTTTTTTTTATATTAAACAAGTTAAATGAATTGTTCAGTCCATAGCGTTACATCAGTAGCTGTATTCAATTTGAAAAAACTTCTACAATATGTGGTAAATGCCCTTGATGAATAAATGCCCTTGCTTGTAAATGTATCTGATTAACTTAGCTGTTTTCCATGTTGCTCTTTAGAATACTTTAAGATTTCACCATCAAATTTGCTGCGGATTAATATTTTCCAACCTGTCCGATATGGATCCCGAGTTAGATTACCACTGTATAAAAGCAGGGACATAGTTTTGTGCCTATAGGCACTTAGCAGCAACAAGAGATTATTTCATAATTTTGCACAAATGACCTTTGTGTTTTGACAAGCGTCTAGCCAGAAAATGAACAGGGCAGCGTAAATTAGGACCATATGAACCCCCCTTTTGGAATTTAGAAATCACAGCAAGTTCGCTGCTGAGTGAATTGGCATTGGTGTTCATTGTGGCGGAAGCCGGCAAACATGGGAGCCTTTGTCAGGGTATTGTTTGACGAAAGAGCGTTTTGTTGTGATTTAGATAGAGGGCAGGAGTGTAGGCTAGTAACCTAATCTGCTTTGATGAGATCTCTTACAGTTTGCCTTCCAGTCCAATCGGCCGTTTAACGAGCTCTTTGTCGTAATCAATACACTCAGCCATTTAAGGGAAAATATTGAAGTACAATATTTTCATTAGGATATAATTTAGTGAAATAGAGTTAAAAAGAAAAGGATTGTGTTTCATGTGCAAAAGCACTTCCATTCATGTGAGGATTTGCATGCATTTCAGTCTTATATAATTTTTGGTAAACTAAATCCTCTGTAGGTAAATACTCTGACGTTTTCACACCTGTAAGGTGAGAGGACATTTGAAACACATATTGCCCAGTTAATTTTGATTAACATATAAAAAGTCATGTAATACTTATTTGAAAAACCTGTCGTGAAAGCATGTTATGCCAGTTATGGATCTTATTTAAAACATATTTGAACCCAGAATAATATTAATTGCATCTCAGAGTCTATCAAAAAAGAAAAACCATAAAATTATATAACTCAGGGATTTCTTTACAGCTTTAAGTATTTTAAGATCATAAACAGGTAATATATTTTTAGGTACACACAAACAAAAATGTTTATTAAATTATATATTAATAAAAAGTCAGGATTTAAACTAGCTGATTTTTGACTGAGATTATACAGTAGAAGGTATTGCTTCCTTAATCCCAACAACATTTTATTGTTAGCCATTCACTACAGGGTTTGACCATCCTTTACATGAAAAATAAAAAACAAACCTTTTTTTTTTGCAAAAGCCTTCCTCAGTATTATTTTCTTATTTCCTTGCTACAATACCCCTTTGAAGGGTTGATAAAGAATTTCAACAATAATTGGTTTAGTGAATTACAGTAGTTATTTTTAAACCCAAGTGTCCTGCAGAATGAAACTTCACTACATCTCCAGCCACCCCAGCTAGAATTTTTATTGAAAAAATCTGTCCAAGAGAATTATATTTTTATTATAATATTAATTTTATAATTCCATGTTCTGCAGGATGAGACCACACTGCAGCTCCAGCCACCCCAGTTAGCATTTCTCCTTGAAGATCTAACCAGAAAACTTAGTCACAGCCTCATAGCCTCTGCCTCTAAGAGGAGGATGTTTCTCAAGGTAATGTGTACTGGGGGAGGGGTTAAAATTGATGGTGGTAGTGTACTAGTAGTGTTTGGGGAGGAGAGGGGGGGGGACTTAAAATAGAACTGCCTTTTTTTCTGTGAGAGGTATGTATGCTTTAAATCAATTTTATCTTGTGCGTGCTATTTCATATTTTGGTCACTAAGGATGGGGGAAAAGCCCTCTTTAAAAAAAAAAGACTTTTGACATGGCAGGCTACAGGTGGACATTGTACAAATGTAACTGAGGTAATTTCACTAATGAATGTGAAAGAGTATCATCTATTCTAATTTTAAGATCATGAGTTCTGAATATGTGAATAGAAAAATTAGTTTTTAAGATTTAAGTTGTGGTAAATAAACCCTCTTTTAAAATAGATACATAAATAAATATGAAAGATATCTACATGTAATTATTATGAGGCATATTGCAGTGGATTTGGAGCTTTGAATCTTTGTAACAGTTAAATGTGAATTGATTTTGTTTTAGGTAAAGGGTTCCAAGAATGCAGGTTTTTCCCACCTGGACCATCATTCAGCCAGCAGTGTGGCCAAGAAAGTGGTTCTGTTGCTGCCAGCACTTTGTGATCACTTAGGGGCTGCCTCTGGGTTCTTTGAGGTACGTGTTATCGTACCACCAGCGTAGGCACTGGCGGTACCCATGGTTTTAGTCCCAACCCGTCTTGTCCACCAGCTCTGCCGTATCCACCCCCATTTCACCATTACCACTTCTCCTCCTAGACTACAAGGGCCTGTGTCTCCATCTTTGGATTTAGGTCACACATAATCTCAACTCGTTCCAGGTGATTTTGGGCTGTGTCAGTGCACTGGTCTAATCTGTTATTTAGATGGATGGCAGGGCAGATGAGTGACAGACAGACAGCCAGTCAGATAGACAGTTATTACATATAATACCTATTATACTTGTATCACATGAACACATGTATGAAACGAATATCTAGAATAAATCTGGAAGAGATTTTATGATTTTTTACGAAAATTATGACAGTCTGGTAATATTTTTGGTTGTTGAAATGGATCCAAAAAACAACCACATTTCTCTTACATTTTTTTTTTATGTTTAATGGTGTCTTGAGGTTTGTTTTCTGTTATGTTTCTAGGCTCTCACCAGTGCTAATGATGGTGTGATTGATGGTCCAGGCAGCATGAGTGAAGAAGCCATCTTGATGGGCACTTGTTTTCAGCATCTTCTCCAGGTCTTGCTAACTTTCTTCTCTTGGTGAGCAATTTTTTTCCTAAATCATTTGTAATTGTTGGACTCATCTTTTTCATCTAAAAACTTCTATTTTGTGATAAGTAATATTTAACATTTATTTTGGTTGCTAAGATTTTGTAATGTCTACATTTCCTAGTTTCAGTTACAGAAGTAAGACAACATATTAATTCTTGAAGTATCTGATTTTCTCTGTCAAATTATGTAGCAAATTCAAATGGCCACAATGTGCTTGGGGAGTTGGTATTTTTGGTAGCCCCCCTCCCCCCCTCCATACATACACATTTAGAATGTATGTGGAGCAAATTATATATTTATTGTAGTATAATTATTATAATGATGGAAAAAGTATCAGCCATTGGTCAAGATTCTTTGATGGAGGGTTGAAACACCATACCATATACTAGTTAAAAAAAAAGATTAAAAATTTAAAAAAAAACAAACAAACAAAAACAATAAACATTTTAGATTCTGCAAGAACAAATTAGTACTTTTACAAGTACTCGTTTTTTTTTCAGGAATGGCTTTGTAATGGCAGAACATAAACCGTTGCTGAAGGAAGGTCTGGTGGTACTGGCAAGCAGGATGAAAGGAGCTGCAGCCAAGAATATGACTTTCCAGGAACTACTGAAGTAAACTTCATGTTTTGCTTGCTACCTTCAGTCTGCAAGTAGCTGCTGGCTCAATGCCATCTACCTGAAATTTTTGAGCTGGGGCATCAAATTTTTTATTTGTTGTTTGTTATGGACAACTGTTTCTGTTGTGGTCACATAGATTCCTACTTAGTACAATTCTAAGTGCTGGTCAGTTGAAAAGTCCATATTCTTAATTTTGCCTGGATGAACTTTATTATCTTTTAACAATTCATTTGCCGTGTTAACTTTTATGGATCAGCTTTTTCTTAATAAATCTTCTTTAAAAGGATGTTTTGAAAGCAAAAAATGTGCACTGTAGATCAAATCTTATACTTTTGCTTGTTTACTTTTAGATTGATTAAAGTTCAATAAAGATAGACATAGGCATATTAATTTGCTTGAGCAAATACTTTAATGCACTATTCACTGTACATATTATTTTGATTTAATTACTGTTTATATTATAATTATATGCTGAGTTAAAAGCTGCATAAAAAATATATTGTAGCTTTTGAAAATCCTTGTCAAGTGTCAAGCCATTAAATTGCCCCTTTCAAACCCACCTACTATCCTAAGGGTCTCATTTTGTAAATGTTCATTGCAGGCAAAATTTTCAGTATTTGGAGAACTTTTCCGGTTTTGTTCCAAACTTGATGACGGCAGTGACTCTGGTGAAACTTCTCGTCGTGATGGCGGAGAAAGGAGACAGTGGACAGTATGGTGCTGCTATAGGTACAGTTTGATTTAAAATCCCATTCAAGTTTTACATAATTACAGAAAAAATTGAAATATTCCAGATAAAAAATTCACATGTATTGAATCTGAGTCATTGGAATTGGTGTGCAGCAGGTTGCTGTGTAGAATTTTGTTGTATTCAGTCACCTAATTTTTGATTGACAGCTGGAATGGCGCAGGAGTTCTTGAAGAGGGAGTGGTTGGGAGAAGACGGACAGAAGCCAAAAGGAGCAAAACATAACGAGATGCTGCAGGGGCTGATACAGTGAGTTAGCATTATAATTACTTCTCCTGAACAGGTCATGTGTTTGCTTTGCCGTTTTTGGTTTGTCTGTTTGTTTAATAGCAGCAATATTGACAAACTTGGACGCATTTTGACAAAATTATCAGAAAAGCTTCAAAATGGTCATACTGTGTACACAAGTGATTAATTAATGAATTCACTTTTGTGACAGAAGTGTGTTCTTCCTGAGTGGTTTTCGGTTTAATAACATGGTATACTACTCAATCTCAGATCAGGGATTTTTCTTCAAATGGTGTCACTAAAAATGAATTTCTTCTTTCTTTCCATAAGCTGGGGAAAACTAATGAAACTGATCAACAGAGAAACCTTATAATCTGACTCAGTTTGAAATGTACTATCTATATCTAACATATTTTCTACATGTCCATCAAAATGTTGCCATCGAAACTTTTTCTCTAGGAACTTTTTCCTTTTAATTAAGAAATTTGAGGATGAGTGTATTGATATAATATACATGTTTATATAAAATTTCAACATATTCGTCCAGGATGTACCTGAGTAATTCTGAAGATGTCCTGAGTGCTATAGAGCACCTGTCCACTACGGCTATTCCCGAGCTGGTCCAGTCAGACAAGAATGCTCAGTCAGACACCTATCCTACACTGACCAGGTATGTTTTATGATCATTGTAATAATTGTATGATAATGCTTGCAAATACCACATAAAGTGCAAGAATTTCAGAGTGTATTTTTGCGACATAACCAAAAGTAAATTGTTTTGTAGAATATTATTATTATTATTATTAGGTCAATTTATTTAAATTAAAGGAGTATTTATACTGTCATATTAGATTTCCTTAATCCTCATGGCTGGAGAGTGAAGCCAACTTTAAGTTAGTATTTTGATTTTTTAGGAATTCCTTCGGAGTGTATTACCGAGTGATTCTCTCAGAATTGGTTGTTGTGGTGAGAGGAATTCCTGCAGGAAAGCCATCTGATTCTACACAGGTAAGGGGAATATTATTTGGGATTTTCCTTTGGGACATATTTATGTATTTCAGATGCTTGAGATTTATATTTAATTGTACTTATAATATTAATCAACCCAAGCCCATAGCCAGATTTGGAGGGGGGGGGGTCACTGGGCTCAAATGAACTCCCTTTTTGATGGGAAAAGGTCGGCTCCGGGTAAAATTTGATCTAGGTACTGCACAAAGATTTCATGATAAAAGGTACACATTTTCAGGAAAAGAACACCCACCTTCCACCCCCAATTGGCTGCAGACATGCAGCCAAATGATGGAACAGAGGTTCCTCAACATAACTGTTACAATAACGGTAGTGTCTTATGAGTCATGGTACATGTCTCATTATTACCATTTTATATCAATTTTAGGTCAAAGTTGATAAGTTGATTCGCTGGAACCTTGCTGTGAGGACATTTCACATATTGGTCAACTTAATCAAGGTAAACTCACACTATGTTACACACTTTGTTCTGGACACCAGTTTGTCTGGCTATCAATGGTCAGCCACTCTTTCATGTGACCAGTTGGACCTTTTTGAACTAAGTATGGTCGTTTTCACAGCAGATAATCATAGACTAACTGATCTGCAGACTAAATATGGCTGACCCCACTAAAAAGCAATGTCGCCTAATCCCCTGATGGTCTCCCTGCCTCCACATGTGCCATCTCTGCTGGGCCTAGCAATTAAACCTTAGAGTTCGGATTAAATACCATCAGTGGCATGTGTGGAGGGAGGGAAGCCATCAGGAGATTAAATGGTACATGTACTAGTACTAGTTGGGATTGGCCTTATTTAGTCTGTGCATTGGTTAGTCCCTGATCAACTTGTTCAAAATGCCCTCTTAGGTGTAAACAATGTTGGATTTAACTGAAAAGAAAAGACAATAGCAGTTTGGCTAAATATGTTTCATATAATTGAAATTCACTGTAATTTTTAAAACTATATGTGAATGTAAACGTCTTTCTTTCAGGTATTTGATGCTAGGGGGAACCTGACCTCAATATTCAAGGTAAGAATATGGGTCAAACTGCATAGAAAAAATGTACGCCATAGCTTTTTCAGTGGAACTTTTTGATGATACATGTATTGTGGGATTTTCTTATGGAAATTCCTAATAATTCTGTGCTACATGAAGCAATTTAAATGCCAAAGACATTGAGGATGTTGATTTTTGTCACACATGAGTGCTAGATGTACTTAGATTTATACACTGTACATGTACCGGTACAAAGCAGCTGCAAAGTACAGCACAACAATACAATAACAACATTAATATGATACAATACAATATAATATCATGATTAAACAATAATTTGCATTGTTTCAGTATGGTCGCTTGTTTGTTGAGGTATTTCTACGCCAGGGTATGCCATTGCTTGACCACATGTTCCGCCATCACAAAGATGATGTACAAAGTCTGCTGAAGAACCTTCAACTGAGTACGCGGGCCATACATCACATGTGCGGACACTCAAAGGTAAACTTTTTGAAAAAAGAAAAAGACAGAAGAAAATTGTTACTCAAAGTCATATGGCATGATAGGTCAGATTCTGTTTTAATATTGGAACAAATTATTGCTGTAACAGTAATAAAGAATGAGAAAATTATCAAAATGGCCTTGTCTTATCTAAAAATTTGTATTGATATATCTGAAGAATTGAAGGACAGTCACTGTTGTAGAAAGAAAAGATTGATGTAAACCATAATTAAAAGAAATGTCTAATTTCTTGAGAGAGACCCTGATATAAAATACATTGCTCAAATAAGTTTATGAAGATTGTGTGTCATTTAGATGAGATACTACATTTATTTACTTTTTTCTGTTACTGGAATTAATAATGTAAATATTTACTTTTATTTTTGTTACTGACTTAACTATGAAATCCCAATATCAGAATCAAAAAGGATTTATTGTATAATTCGTATATATTTGAAATCTTTCGTTCAGATAGTGAAAGACATCAGTCTGACCAACCAAGTGCCCCCCATGAAAAGATGCTTGGAGCTGTTTGTGTACAGGGTCAAGGCCATGCTGACAGTCAACAAGTGCTTGGAGGCATTCTGGATGGGCAACCTGAAGAATAGGGATCTACAGGTACAGTAACGCTCAGTTAAAACACTGTTGTTTGACTATCTTCAGGTACAGTAATGTCCAGATAAAACACTGCAGTTTGACCATTATTGTTATTTCTGAATTTGGTTGTATCAAGTTGTGCTAGACAATGTATCCTACTGCCATACTACACACGGGTCTGTAGCCAGTAGTTTCAAAGATGAGAGGTTTATATTTTTTTTGCAAACATTTTTACCATGAAGACATCAGACTTAGGCTTCGTTCATATGGAATGTCTATTTTCTAAAAATCTATTTTCTATTCGCGGCATCTTATGATCACGGTCTGTGCCCTGAATATCCCGCGGCGTAATTACTGGCAGCGCGAACCAGTTACTTATAGTAACTTATGGTAACTGGCTTGCGCTGCCAGTAACTACGCCGCGGGATATTCAGGGCACAGACCGTGATCATAAGACATACCGCGAATAGAAAATAGAATTTAAAAAATAGACATTCCATGTGAATGAAGCCTTAAAATGTACAATGTAGAGCAGACCTTTTCCCAGCCTAAAGACCATTGAACTTTTCAAAGCATCAAACTTTTTTGTTTACAGGCCTGATTCTAATACAAGTAGTTGTAATTGATCATTTTGGTACATGTAAGTTTTTAAGTTTTCATTTTAATTTGTATTGCATACAGTGTGTACTGAGGCGAATGTAAAGTTTGGAGTAAAAAAAGTATTTATTACCTCTGCCAAGGAGGTTATGTTTTCAACCCTGCTTGTCTGTCTGTCTGTTTGTTTGTCATCAACATAACTCTAAAAGTTATGGACCGATTTTGATGAAATTTTCAGGGTAGGTGGGAAATGGGTTAACTTAGAAGTGATTAGTTTTTGGTGGTGATCCGGATCAATAAAAATCAAGAATCAATAAAAATGAAAAATCGCTGCCATGGCGGAGGTCTGCGCTCTTGGAGTGCTTTTCTAGTTATTATTATAAAATTAATAATAATTATTATTATTTCCAGGGTGAGGAGATTCTGTCCCAGGTCTCGGAGGCAGACACTGCCAATGCAGGAGATGATACAGAAAATGATGCTGACAGCTTACCTGAGGATGAGGATGATGATGAGAGTGAAGTAGTAAGGATGCTCTCTGCCCCCCTTTCTCTCTCTCTCTCTCTCTTTCTTACACACACATACACATTCTCTCTTTTTCTCCTTCTCTCTCTCCCTCTCTTCACATGCTTATGTATTGGTGAGTGTGTTTCTCAAAAAGTCCAAAGAATGCCAACTGAATGTCGTAGAACAGAAAAAGGATAAAATGTACTTGTACTAGTATATGATTAACATTGTTTACAAATCGGGGGGGAAATAAGCAATGCCATTTTTGACAAACTTGTTCGATTTTCATATACATTTTTTTTTTAATTTCAGGAACTGGAGAGCAATGCTAGTAATGAGAAAGAAGAAGAAGAAGAGTCTTATAGTGAACAATATTAGCCACTCTTTCTGTCACACAGACTGAGAGCCATTTTTTGTGCATGATTTCCTTACTGTTTTTCAATTGCAAAATCTCATAAAGAGATTAAACCGGTGCTAAATTTGATCCATCTCACTTCTGTGGCATGAAGTTTTGTTCCTAACTGTCACATTATTGCAACAAATGGTTTACTTCCCAAAGTTACTCTAAAAGTTTTCTCAGTTAAATAAAAGTCCTGGATGCTGCCTAAAAGTGACAGTCAATTCTTTCATTGGTTAGAACCTTGGTATTTATGTTATAGCATTTGCATATCAAGATTTCATACTTTGGAAGAATGCATGAATTTTTGGGGGCTATTGAGATCTTATTGTAAAAAAAAAAAAAAAAAAAAAAGAAAACAATTAGGGGTACACGTGCAGGTGCTCACGCTTATTTCCAGTGTAGTTCTTAGCAAAAAATATTTACCTTTACAGTTGAAGAAAGAATACTGCTTCAAAATGGGAAGGTTTATTGGACTGTATCTAGTACACTACAATATGCTATTCATACATGATGAAAAGTTAGCAAACTTCAAAGTAGATTACTACGTGGACATTTCTAATAAATACTTAAAAGAATATTACAGTAGGTACATGTAGTAAATAAAAATGTATATATTAGCTTGATTCTTGTTTAAAAATCAAAACATGGAAAATGACATTTGCTCATTTTCTAAATGACTTCACAGCTTTTATAACTTTTGCTTTTTAAAGTTTGGATAAGTCCAAAAATATGTAACAAATAAAATCATAGCAATACACATTTGTTTTGTTTAAAATGTTTGTTGAAATAGATAATTAAACAATTGGTGAACACTAAATCTTAAAAAGAAAAAAGATTCAATCTATTTGTAAAATCCAAAATGACTCTTTAGTGATATAAATGAAAACAAAGTAAATAGATACCATTAGCTACGAATATACAGTGCCTCCTTTTGCCTTATGTTATGTTCATGATTCTGAAGGATCTACAGGACCTGGTACATTATTGTACTGCGGGACGCATCAGCCACAGCGCAAACTACTGTACTAAATTTGATGATAATAATGTAAAATAATAATGTTAATTTTGCTACCAGTAGTTTAAACAAAAGGGTGTGTCTATATTACCCTTCATTTTGGCCACTTCACAACGATCCTTCTGCATCGACAGGAGGTCAGAGCCATGTTCTGGGATTAAGTTAAAAAATGCACTTTAGAGCATTCTTCAGTGTACTGATATCTCAATTATTCCTCTCGCTTGACTCTGTTCATTCTTAACCAGGTATAGGGTACTACGAGTAGTACACGTATGTCACTGGGAAGGTTCAAAATGGAGGCCTAGGTGGTACAGGTACATGTACTGTACATATATATGGCATAGTGTTCTGTGGTGCAAGCACTACATATACATTAAAATTTGCATAGCAGCACATGTATTTACTGTTCAAAATAATGCTGATATTTTTTCTGCAAAGATGAGCTATTTCTGTCGTTCAATATTACTATGTATGGATAAAATAAAAATGGACCACATAGGATGCTTAAATCCGAAATTCAAAAACAATATCCGCCTTGTCGCACGTGTAGTTGTTTACATTTATTTACTGCCAATCAGAAATAGAGGAAAAGTAGGTCATCGCTGCGGGATGAACTTGGCGGGAACATACGTCAACAGTTAGTCATTCATCGGTCAGTTGCAGATGTCCGGCCGTTATCCGTATAAGTGTGGATGGGGAGTTTAGAATCTTTTTTCAGGTGAGTATTAAACTAGATTGCGTATAATGGAGTTAGATAAATTAAGATGTTTGTTATATGGCTTGTGATTGCAGTGAAAACTGGTAGCCGGCTCCCGGGGAAAGAGGTCACGCACAATGTCAACAAAACAAAAGAATTCCACAGATTGCTTCCATCAAGAGTAACTTTTCAGAAGCTTTTGATGGTTTCATTTTATATAGGCAGGTCGACAATCTCATCTTGTCATTTATTTAATGCGCACTTCTGTTTCGCGAGCAGGTATACGTTCTTAATGTTTTGGACACCAACCAACCCCATTTCATTCGTTTACTTCCCCCTTCTGTCCATCATGTTTTTTTTTTCTGCTGATCTCATTTATTAATGTAGTTTTTTTCTTCTGATTTCCCCATGTCTTTACTTGCAAACAGCCCACAACTAACTGTTCAGTCGAGCATTTTTTTTTTTATTTAATTACGTTTTCTTGTCATCCATTTGTACTTTTTTTAATTGTTATATACAGTAATTGCATTAGAAGCAATTGTCATGCAGCAAACATGCAGCCAACAATGTTTACACGCAATTTCAAAAGATTATTATTATTATAAGCTACATGTGTTCTTCAGTACAGCAAGTCATGGTGCTGACCAGATCAGAGTACAGACATGTCTACCCCTCAGACAAGGGTCCCAGGGGGAAGAGAACTGCCAGAAATCCCGCCAACACAGGTGGAAAGACCTCCAGGAGAGGTAAAGATGGTAGAGACTTTTCACGAGTTGATGGTGGATTTAGTGGTGCTAGTAAAAGCCCCAGGAGTTCAAGAACCCAGTTTTTACGATCCACACCCAACAAGTGTGCTTTGCAGGATGACACAAGTAAGGCAAAGTTATGGTTTATAGTTTCTTCATCTGACAGTTGAACTCCAAAGTTTCCTTTCTATTATTTCATTGCATAGAGTTTGCTGTAAGGCCAGTGAAAAAGTCAGTTAAATGTGTTTGTTAATTCAGAAATAATCTAGAGGCATAGTTTTGTGTTGCATTTACATCATTTGCATTAATTTATTACAAAGAGCAGACCTGCTATGAAATTCTTCCAATTATATTTCCACTTTAATTTTATTCCATAGAAGAGCAAACTACAGAATCAGTACCAGAAATCCAAGAGACTGATGACAAAACCAGCCTCAGAAACTGCAAGAGACAATCAGAGCCAGAAATGGAGTTTGCTTTCCAAACCCCTCCATATAAGACATGTAAACTGTCTCCCTCTGGTGGCAGTTTGGCTCAGGCAAGCAGAGCATTGTTTGGCACAACTGAAGATGGCACTGCAAGACAAGACAATAGCCCCTTTAAACCTCTGCCATTACTTGATGTAGATTTAAGTCCAAGCAGTTCAGTACATGGCAACCCCCACATGTCAACAAGTAATACTCATTTTACAGGACAGAGTGCTACATGTTTTTCTCCAGCAAAATCAGATGATGGAATTTCTTGCAACTTTGACTTGAGTCCAAATCGGGGCACAAAAGTTAAATTTGACACTCAGCGCCAGTGGAGTTTTTCCTCAGACACTTTCCTAGAGGAAACTGTTCACTGTTGTTTTGACTCTGACCCTGAAGATATCACTGTGTCCCAGTCTAAGACACTCAGTTTTTGCAGTGATGATTGTGATGATAACCGGATGAAGTCTCCATTGTTTTTCGGTACACAAGATGGCTCCTTGGCTCTGATTGACTGTAAAACACCAACAAAAGGCCCTGGGTCAGGTGTAAAAAAAGCTCGCGCTGAGTTCAAACGCCTCTTGGATCCATCACTCAATGCTCAAGCAGACACACATGACATTGTTAACACAGAAACAGCTTCAGAGAAATTAAAGAAAACTTTCTCAACGAAGGCGCCCATTTCCTCCAGAAGAACAAAGTGCACCATATCCAGTCCCGAGGGAATTAGAGTAAAACAAGAACAGAGTTCTGGTCTGCAAGCAGAACCAAATGGGAAAAAAATTATGCCTTTAAATCTTGACATAGTTCCAGAACAAAAAGAGACACGTAGTGAGTTTTCATGCATCTTGGAAGGCAACTACCCTTTTAGACCATTCAACAGTGTGGTTGTGAACCAGGAGAGAGAAGTCAATGTGACTAGTCTTGGTGGAAACCGAACATCCTCGGGTGAAATGAAATTGAGAAATAGATTTATCACGAAGACCCCTCTGTCTGAGGGACTGTTGACGTGTGATGAATCGGTTATCGGTTCTCTCGGTTCTTTCGGCAGTGTTTCTCCACAATGTGACCTAGATAAAAAAAATCAATTAAACAATCAGAAGACAGTTAAAACAGTTGGAAGTCTCTTTGGTGTTGGTAACGTGAAAGAAGAAGCTGACTCTTCTGACGTAGGGAAAGTTGGACAAACCTCAAAAGAAATGTGGAAAATTGTTCCAAAAACAGAGAATAGAACTAAAGGGGCAACAGTTTTACTTGTAAAGGTGGTAAAGTGAAAGATGATAATTCCCTGTGTTCTGGAGATATAGTAGTAAGAATATCTCAAGGTCACATGCCTTTTCTCTTGAGGCCACGTATTGGCCCTTGTATACATCCTAAGCTCCATTTTTTGAAAAATTTCCCTGAGACTCTGGGATCTGCTTTGTCTTTGAAGTCTGATTTGCTAAACAGATTGGTGCATAGCAGGCCTCCTTCAGGTGTGTATATGTAGACAGCCATTGTAGAATCCTTCTCTCTTGGCAAATTTCGGTGCCTTTTGTGCTGGTGTATCTTCCAATGTCTACAGTACATGTTCAAGCACAGAATCTTTAAGATTAGCCACATTAAAGATAAAGTGAATGCTATGAAAACAGCTCTGTGGGTATTGTATTTATATCCCTTGGAACTCCCATAGAGAACTGTGTGCCACTGGTGCTTTCATTTTCCGATTTTTTGAAAAAGGTCCACTCTAAACTCTAGACTAACATGAAATGTGCTCTTAAAAGGCATTAGTACATGTTAAAGAAGAGCAGGTTTTGGTTTAGAAATATTTGCAGAGTGTTTTGCTTTATGTTTTGATTTATTGCCATGGTTTCAATACCATAGCTATTTTATCATGGGGAGAATACCTCTCAGATAAACAGCCCATCTTTACAATTCTTTTGAGCCTTTTGAAGTATCATTTTCAATGTGCGCTGTTCATAGAAATGCACTTTTTTATGTTAAAGCAAACTTTTTGGTTTTATAGTGTTGCAATGTCTGAAAATCACTCTATTTTGACACATCTTTTATTAATATATATACATGTATTTTTTTTTCGAAATTTTGCGATAAAACCTTTCCCGTTCTGTTTTCGTTTATGGAAATCTACACAATTAATTATCGGTGATTACTAATAGCCTGACATGTTTAGTGCAGATTATATTTATATGTATGTAGTTAAGATTATATAAACTTGTTTCTATAAGCCAAATAAATAAAGAATAAAAACCTTTGTTGCAAAGAAATAGCGTGCAAGCTATAAATTTTAAGTGAACCTGATACAATTTCACCAAAAATCATGTATCAGCACAGTTGTGCACTTATATTGGGAAGAGTAATTCTTAATTATAGTCGTATTTTAAGACTTTATTGTATTATATTATAATATAATTACATAGCACATTAATCATTCATTTTGCACTGGATACTGATACATCATCCTTTGAGATCTTTGCTTTATTTACTATAAAACTATGATAAAAGTCTGACTGATACAGTTAATGATGAAGGGGTGTATATCGTGTTATTACAATGTTAAGTTGATTCTAGTCACTTAGAAGCAGTTTTTCAAATGAGAAATGTGTTCAAGAAAACTATTTTTTTATTCATAATTTTTTTTTAAAAGACTGTAAAAATGAGTGTAATTACACACTCTTTGTTTATGTGATTAAGATACTTATAAATATGACTGTCCAATTTTAAATTTTAGTAGATTTTAGTTACTTGAGCTCTGTAAAATTATTTTAAATCTTGAAATATCAGTGCAGTTGTTGTATTTTATTAACATTTTAAGTTTTTTTTCATTATGTCATTCTTTATTTCCTTGTCTGGTCAATTAAAATAAAATCCAGAGCTACTGTTTAAAAAGTTTAAAGACAACAACTAAGGAGTTAAGGCCCTCCTGCAAACATAAATATATCTTTAATACCACTTCACTGATGTTTTGATTTATTTTATATTCTCAAATAGGTTGCAAAATAGCAAGTAGGTATTTAAATAGAACTTATAAAAAGTATATTAGTGGTGCAATGAAACTTATACCAATTGTTCAAAATCAAAGAAAATGCTCAATTGCTAATAAAGCCAGCTCTGAAGAAAAATGCTTGGCGGGTGTCACACATGAAATGCTATCTATCTTCATCAGTTTTATCCTTATCCTTGTCACTGGTATTCTTTTCTCCCTCGATTCTATGTTGTTTCTTTCTATCTCGTAAAGTCTGCTTTCTCTCCTCCATGATTGCTTTCCTTTGCTCTAAGTCAGTCTTATCTTTTTCCAATCTCCCCTGCAGAATACTATCTGAGGTCAAATTTTTTATGTTCATTTCCACTGCTTCCAGTTTTTGATTTATTTGGCCATCCACATCTTCAGCATTGTCAACATTTTCTAACATCACCCGTGCTCTCATTGATGGGACTTCTTCTCCAGGTATGAAAGCTCCAGCCACATATCTGCCTTCTGAGACTAAGAAATTATACAAGGGTACGGCACGATACTGAAATAAAACAGATATCCCACTTTTAAGGTATTAAAAACGCTACTAACTGATACCTGTCACATCAATCATTGAACCATGATAAGAGATTAGTACACATGATATACTATACTATTTATATACTATATTAATTATATTAATATATGTTTATAACAATAATAATAATAATAATAATAATACTTAAAAAAAATAAAAGACAAAAAAATGGGACTGAGTGGGAATCAAACCTACTCCGCCATGATTGGCAGCCAGAACATTACCACTTGGCCAGCAAATCCTGTTATCTGATGTAGTGTTATTGACAACTTATGATACCTGTCACACATGCCGAAGCTTTACGGAAATTGTCGAAGGCTAGAAAATGCCTTCAAAATATTCAAAATATACTTTTAACAGTTAAAAGAGATGACTGCAGACTATAGAGGATGAAAAAGAAAAATATACCACAGTAGAAAATTTAACAGCACAGAGATGAAAATATTGCTCTGTCTTGGCTTCTTTCGCATGCATGATATTCTAGATGTGATTTTCCAGTGTTCCATGATGTTTAAAACACTAAAGTGCTTGTCATGTACAAATTCCTTTAATTATTATTATTATTTTTTTTTTTTTTGGGGGGGGTCATATTTTGTGAATGTATGAAATACAGTACCAATGTTTTCAAATGTAATGTCCTTTTAAAAGTTGAAATTTAAACAGTAATTCTAAAAACTTTCCTTACTTCAAGGATAATCATCATTCTAAAATTTGAAAAAGAAAAAGAAAATCTTATTTTTTAAATAGGTTTTTACAGAGGTTCTTTTCGGCAAGTCTAGTATTTGAAAATACATCCACTTTTACATTGGACAGATGTAATACTTACTGTAGTAGTAAATTCCACTCCTATCCTTTTTTTCTTGAGATAATTTATAACTTTCAGATCAACTTGACTTCCCTCATCACCGATACCAAGCACCAACATGTCTGAAAAAAACAAAAAAGAAAACATTTTAAATCATATTAAGCAAAGAACTTCACATTTACATGTTATCAACAAAATGGGTTAATTTCACATCAGATTTTATTTATTTATTTATTTGTTTAATCTTATTTAATGCCATTTCAGTTTGTTTCATAAAACAGCAAAAAGTATAGATTGAATTTAGCTTAGACTTCTATGTTTAAATAGCCAACTTTATAATGCCATCATCAGTTGCAATATTGGACTATGATGATCATTTCACAAATAATACCTGATGACATGAATAAATAGCCCAGTCACTTTTAGTAAACATCAGTGTCAAGATATAATTATCAAATATGGACTAAAGTATAAAAAAACTGCAATCAGTGAACCTTTCAAAGTTGTCTTTTATAATACTTCAGCATACCCACCCAGTGATGGCTGTAAGTTAACAAATAAACTAAGTGATTCCTCTGTGATTTCCTGGGGACTGTAAACCTAAAATATAAACAGGAGAATTCAATACTCAACAACTTTCTTTCTTCACAACTACCAGTATGTAGATTTATGTGTCTCATTACTGAAGTTGCATCTAGCCTGATAATGTCTACTCTTGCAACTGACATTAAATTAGAATTTAGATATAAAAAACAATAAAGTGTCACCTTTGAACAAGAGAACCACATTCTTACTAGTATACACTCATGACCACACACACACACATTTTCCAACATACTTTACTTACCCACAATCAACATAAAGACACAAAAAATCATTTCAACTCCTTAAATGTACAAATTCGTGAGCTTTTACAAGGACACAGAAAAAAGTAGTTATATCTCCAAAAATAGGGAGAAAATAGGAGCCTGCTGCAGTTAGGCTGAATTGCGCAATACACTGCACACTGGAAAAAACACGTCCATTTGCAATTAAACAGAAGCAACGGTCATTCCCAATAGGCTGATATAAAAGAAAACTGTATTTCTAGGTAATTAAAATTGTTGATATAACTTAACAATTCAGCAAGTCGGGTTGGCAGTCATGTTGGCGAGTGGCTCTTCTTGGAAATATTACCTGCCAAAAGGAGCCACTCACCAACATGGTGGCCAACGCAACAATAAAATAAAATGCGAGTTTGTCGAGTTGTATCAACTATTTTAAGTACTTAGTTATGTATTTCGCTTTTATATCATCCTATTTGTTTGAAACTGCCCTTTCCTCGTGTTTACTTGCATCTGTACTTGTTTTTTTTTTCAAGTGTTTTTTTCGCTGTATTGCAGTGTACTGTAGAACTCGGTCACACCCATCCTGCGGTAAGTGTTTAACAAATATTATTATTATGACTACTATTCCAATGGTACTTACATTCCAGTGAAGTATAGTCTTGGGGAACATTGCAACTGAGCCCAGGACCCTGATGCCATTGTTCAGAATAAACCCCTGGTTGTTGAACCCTTTAATCATGAGAAAATCTTGGTTCAAGTTGATAATTTCTTGGGAGGACCTCCACTCTTGACCATCCAGGTCCAAATCGCTCACGTGTCCCCTGGACATCATGCCTACACTGCCAAGAGTATCACGCCTGGATTGAGAGATCATACTTTTTAATTTCAAGTTTAAAAACATAAGCTGCCTTTGCAAGAAAAAATATGAAATCCGCAAGAAGGTGCCAGTTTGCTGTGATGAGGCATCGTTGAACTGCACTTGTTAACAACGTAACTGGTCTGTTGAACCGTTATTAACTTAATTTTTAGCTTGGCTTTTATCATGCCTGCACTGAAATGTCATGAATTCTCTGGATATTTGACGCTGAACCTTCATCAAATTTTCAGTTTCACTTGCAATTATTAGCAATAAAAGGCACTTTTCCCGTATGATCTTGATGGTACGTAAAGCAATACTTACGGTGAGCTATAACATCGCACATTATGCTGTAGTATTTGTCGTCGAAATGCTGCAAGCGTGCACAGCACTGTTTTTCCTTTGCAAAGCGGCATCTTATGCAAGGCGAGAACGAATCTCATTTTGCAGAAGATCATGCTTTGCCCAAGACGAGCTTACGACATACCACTCAACACAGCAAAACGCCGTAACACTATGTACAGTGACACAGCAAGCGCCGTAGCACAAAGAGTCGTTATTATAAAACAAATATTTTCTCCTTGTACTTTTCTTTATCTCCTATGTGGTTAGCCTTTCTCTTGCATGATTTCGGTCAACTTTGACATTTGACATTATTTCATATGATTGGCTTCAATTAACGTTAATTACTTTACTTAAAGTTCCATTTCTATTACTTCTTTTTCTTTTCCAATTTGAAGATGCAAAAGAAAGAGGTTTTACTTTCTGAGTACATTTTAATAACGCTCTTTGCATATCAGAATGTATAAAACTCTGGTCCTAACAAGGAATAGGAGCAACTTTCTGGCATGCCAGTATTTTGTTCTCATTCCGAACCCCGAGTTTCGGGGGGGGGGGGGGGGGGGGGGGTCAAATACATGTAAAACAACGGAGGTACATGTGCGAATATCAGCTGGGTGTATAAGCCTATGGGTAGCAGAAAGGCCAGTCTCCAGTGTTGCCTGAAACTCGGGGTGAATCCTTAGGCCTATACGTTCTAGATGTGTACCCTACAGTATCTCTCTCTCTCTCTCTCTCTCTGACACCCCGCATCAGCAGGCACGATGCAAGAGCTGGCATATAAGGTTTCATAACATATAGGTCATTAACTCCTGGACATAAAAATTATTATGTCCAAGATTAACTGGTTTAAAATTTAAGACCGAATATTCTAATGTAGTAAGATCAATCCACGGGCGTCAATTAAAAATGCGATATTGGGGTGGAAGGCAAAAATACAGGTGTTAAACACGTACATTTCGTGTAAGCGGACGGCCGTAGTTTGAGCAATATTGTTGTTCTTGTTAGTTGTTGTTTTATCTTCCCGTTTGTAATAGTGCTTGTACTAGCTCATTATGGTTAATATTATATTGTTCTTTTTTATAAGGCTAGCTGGCTCCAGTGGTCAGAGATCTATAGTAGGCCTATATGTAAAATAAGAAAGCCCATCATAGCCATCTACACTGTACATATCAAACACTTGTTTTCACCTAGAGTTCGATTAGCAATGAAATTGCAGTGATTAATTAGACTGGTTTAAATGACAGAACACGTTTGACCAGAAACATGGATTTATTTGTCAAACACCTGACTCGAAATATAAAAGAGGTAACGAATTTTGCAAGTTCTGCAATCATGAACAATCATTATATAAAAATTAAGCCGCTATTGAGTAACATTTTACAAAGATTTATTTTAACATTATTAAAATAAAAATTTAAACTAAGTTTTTAAGCAATCATCGAGAATCAAGATCAACCACCAAGGCTTTTACTGGGCTTAGGGTATTGAATTTCATTTGTTTAAAACGATTTTTACTAACAGGCCCAAAAAGCACTCTAAGAAAGGGTATACTTTGACTGAAATGGGGGGAAATGAACATTTGAGTCTGAAATATGGAAAAGCACCACAAAAGTTGCTAGATCGTTCTTGATTTTCGTGGAGTAGGCATTTACTTAAAAAAATAATTAAAATTCTCCCCTCTTGCGATGTTTAAAACCACCCATTCTTAAAGTTATATACTGAATTGATGTTTTTTTTATAGTAACGTAAATATCACTACACAGCTTGTGAACGTATCAATTAACATAACACAGCAATCTTTGTAACGTAACACTTTTCAACTGGCCAGTACAAGCTTTGCCTTATATAAATGGAGGTGGTTAACTAAATTCTAATTGATACGATGAATCGTAAGTTAACCGACCCTTCACCTTCGAATTCCTTATTCGTTTGATACCGACTTTCGGCGACTTAGGAGATATACATGTACAAATGTAGGGCCTATTAACAAGTACATAACCTCTTGTGTTGGGTCTTATTCTTACAGAAGACAAATTTTGCTAGGCAATTTAAAGTAGGCTTTGTCGTTCGTTCAGTTTAAACCGGATCTTTTGCTAGACTATAAGGCGAATCGTTGGCTGGATTTTCGGTCGGATCATCTGGTTGACTGTCACCCGGATCATTCTGTAGATTTTCAACTGGAACTTTTGCTAATCTGCGGGGCAAGCTACCTCTGACGTTAGGGCTATTCTCTGCTTTCAGCGTCTGCTCACCTTCACGATGAGACAGAGGCGTCTCGTACTCGCCCGCACTTCCCTCATATTGTCCCTCCTCCGCCACTGGGCTGTAGTATACGTTACCGTCTTCCACCGCGGAACTTTCCTCTTTCTCGCGCGGGTTTTGTGGCGTCTCATCACTGGTATTGACAATGTGGTCGTAAGCGTACTCGTCGGGAGGGTCTAAGGTCGCGTACAGTGGGTCGTCGTATTCGTCGTGAGGGTTGTAGTAGGCGTTGCCGTCGCTCGGCTTGTACAGGGAGTTGTTTTTAACCAGAGTTTTGGCCCGACTGGATTCTATGTGGTTAGGGTTGTAAACCGAACCTTCATTGGTAAAGCCGTGGTCGTTTGCCTGCTGACAGAAAAACTACGTATGCATGAGTTATATCTAATAAAAAGGAGTCCATTCAACAGGAAAGTTGTTTAATAGGGCATATTACATGCCTAACATAATCTCTAAATGATAACCATGCAGTCAGAGGATTTTTTAAAATTTCTTTTAAGATTTTTTATTTTCCGGAAATTAACTAAGACTCGCTATATATCAGTGTATTACCAAAAAATTTAACTGGAACAGATGATTTGTTGAACGAATCAAAAGGAAAAGGTATTCCAGTAATCAGTATATCCCGAATCAGAAATATTCAATTTCGCCGCAAAATTTATACGTGCAACAAATCACCAGTAAACTTATTTCATCATATACAAGTCAAAATGCTTTAAAAAGTTTCTCAACTCACCGTGTCTGCTGAACGCTTCTTGGTGACTCGGTTCCAGATACTACAAAAAGACAGGTTTTGAGAAATAAAATGACGTAAAGGTATAGTAATACATAAAAATTATCTAATTCTAAAAACCTTTTTTATTTATCCATCTCCTTGGATAGAGACATTTACATTCTATTACCCATGTGGGTTTTTATATGGAACATCCAGTCTACCACCCCGGGGAGGCGAGAACGTGGCCATCATTTCACCTTGCCTGGCTAGTCATGTATGTGTATCTTAACCAGGTGTCTATTCTATATCCATTATATACAAATATATCTCTCACGTACAAATTCATCCAAGAATTGCAATGGCGTTATAAAGTTATTATTATTTTTATTATTAACAAGTGTTAAGGGAAAGCAAAAGTTCATTAAGACCTGTTTCTAATAAGTTATAGATCTAACAATAATTATTTTTATTATTATTAAAATTTTAAGGTAAAGTTATTATTGTTATTATTATTATTATTATTATACCTGAGCAAGAGCTCTCTTTTCCTCCACCATAAAACCCCAATCACGAGAACAACAAGAAGGACGAGGAGGACAACGATGACAATTGCCGCAATGGCGCCACCGTCTGTACCACCGCCACCAGCGCCCCTAGCGTCAACACCTGGGCCAGGGGGAGAGGAGCTGGCATCACCCACCACCGGCGGGATTAAACCTTTAGAGACTGTTGTAGCAGTAGTAGTGGTGGAACCTGTGGTTGAGCAATTTGTCTGTTGGCAATAGTGAGGTGCATCTGATTTGCAGCCAACCCCAGAAGAACAGTTATGTAGCGTCCAATTGCCGCCAATGCATCGAAAGAAGGTTTCACAGTTTGCCGGGTTTGGTAAATACTCGGTTTCTTTTCCAACAGTGTCACAAGTGTAATTAGTGTATCCACATGGAAGTGAATCTGAAATAAATATTACTCAAATATGATCATACAACCATAAGTAATTTTGCACATATATTTTAATAAAACCACGGCTATCAGAACTTAAAGATATTTGAAATCAACCACATATTTAGAAGAAGAAAAAAAAAAAAAAACAGCATGACCAGCGAAAAGTGAAATCTGCTTCTTTTTCGTTTACCAGATCTTCCTGTTCAAACATGTTACAGCACGTTCTCCTGACCCACCCTAACAACGTGACAAAAACGCGCGAGTTTCTATAAAGTATGGACCCGGCCTAGAGTATTTGTATGGTCCAGGTGTTAGGGATACATTAGAAAAGAAATCCCGCAATACAAAGTAACTGCATGCAGTCTCAGACCCTTTCTCATATACGTTGCCATCAAATGAAAGGAGCGCAAACGCACGCGTGATTTGTGTCAAAATAACCCCTTGAGCTGTCGGCGAACTCGACTCCTACCTCTGCTGTATCGACCCAATTATGAACCTTACTGATGAATATAAATAAACAACAGTAGCACGATTTATAAATGTATTTAAGTACATCTTCAATCAAAATCAATGCTTGCAGAAATTTATAGCTTACTTTAGGAGACTTAACTTTCGTATTAAATACTACAGGTGCATACTCACCAGTTGATTCTGCAAAGAAAAGAACAGCTAACGCCACGGCCAGATACCTGTACATGTTTATGTCACAAGAAGTGATTAAGTGTCCCATGACTAACGATCGATGGCTTGCCTCGATGACACTGCCTGGCTTGAAACATCAGTCCAGTGAGAACATCTTGATGGCCGTATATTGTCACTTTTTAATCTACGTGGCGTTATGTTTAAAAGAAGGTTATGAAACTTTTGAAGCGTACCTTGAGTAGCTCACGCTGTCAGCACCGTCGCCATTTTGCACTATTATGTTTGTGCAACGCAGGCCAAGTCTACACAATAGGTTATAGAAATTGTATAGATTAAGGGACTTCTTGAGCATGTGAGTAATGTTGTATATATAGATTATTTGTGTCGTGAAGTTCTGAAGCGTCGGAGATAAGTTTTTATTTATAAGGTGCTTGGGCGATCTGCTGTTGTTTTAGGGCCTACTTGAGATAAAGACCGACGTTTAAAATATTGAACGCTTGAAATGAATGGGGAATCTTGGATGTGTTATTCGGATATATTATCGGCCCTTCAAACTTTTGTTCGAGTTGTTAAAAATAATAACAATGTATTCTACGCAGGTATTTGGGTGGTTCACGCAGCAGGCGGATCAATTGGATTTATACAGACTCATGGTTACTTTTTCATATCAACTGTTTTAAAACATATGCATCCGATTTTTCTTTCTTTTTTCCCTTAAATTTTACGATGTTTGCCATTATAATGCGCTATTTGATACCAGAGTAAATGTAAAATGAGAGGTGCATTATCTGACACTTCTTTATGCATTTCCGGAACGAACGACGACCCTTCATCATTATCTGACGCTTCTTTATGCATTTCCGGAACGAACAACGACCCTTCATGTTCGACCTGTAAGCGTAATAAGAGACACATCTGCTCCGTGAAAAATGCGTACCCATCCTGTGTCAATCAAAATAGTCTTCTTATATTGAATAAAAAGCATCAATTTTGTAAAATTAACATGAATTTTCTTTCGGTCGAAGCAAGGAATATGACCAAGCTAATGTAGACTGCTCTTTCGTTACCAAGGGGCGAGCGTTACCATGGAACCGGCGTATATAATCAGCAAAGTCTGTTCTCTCACACTTAACGAGGTACATACACACACACACACACACACACACACACACACACATATATATGCTCACGGTCTGGTTATAGCTATGTTAGATATAATTTTTCATCCAGCGAAATTTCGTACTGAGTCGTCTTTATTTGTCGATTTATTATCTGGATTATTATCTGAATCTCAAAATACCAAGATTTTAAGCTACAGTGTATAACGTCGAAGTTAGGATTTCATATTTTCAAAACTGTATATAACTGTATATAAATCGGACAGACATTAGAACAATTGTTACAGTCAATGGAATGTCTCAACTTAATAGACTGAAATATAAATACATATAAATATCTGCAACATTTTACTAATAAAAACGTGTGCCAATCTGCTTAGAACAAAGCACCTCGCAATTTTGTGATATGGTATGTGTTGTAGGTTAGAATATTACTTTTACCAAAACCTAAATACAAAAGCTCTTTCAAAACTTTGTAGTAAATTCCACGGATAAACTGTGATGCGGATTTTAACATGAGAACGGAGTGGTTTTTATACTCATTTGATCAAGGAAAATCGGGAACTTTTGATGGAACCTTTTTCAAATAAATAAATATGATGTCGTGACGTAAGAAAAAGCCATACTTGCCCAACATTAGAAAGTACCATAGGCCTATCTTTTTCACAGATTAAGTTGATTTAAAACATATAAATTTTCACAGACAAAGTTAATTTGAACTATATCTCCTTTCCAAATAAAGTTAATTTAAAATGTACCAGATTCCTCCTTCACAGAGTTTTTTATCTTTATATATAGAGTTTATTAAGTTCGTTTACTGCTACATGTAAGTATAGGGGGATCATACTTTTAAACTCATTGTGGTTAAGTTTTATAATGTGCGCACTCTGCCGGGTTCTCCAATACATAATAATGGGACTTCTCCGACTTTGATCGCTCTTGGTTCTCGTCACTATTTCTGATATTTAGATTCACCTCCTCGTAATTATGCGGCAAATTCTTCTGGTCTCTTGAAGGATTTTCTAATTGCAGAGAAGCACTTGCGGTATCCGAGTCCGTTTCTACAGGAACATCGTCGTAATGCACAGTAGTCTCTGGAATTTTTGACAAAGGCTCCACTTCTTCATAAGGGTTCGGCGCTCGAGTCTCTTCGGTAATTTTAGGAAGAGTTTCCACGAGGTAAATGGGTTCTGCCTCACTCGGAGAGTATAACGAGTTCTCTTTGATAACTATAGATTCTGTAGTCGGTCTTTTAGCGTCGCCTTTTATTGGACGGCTGTAAAGTTGACTTAGGTCCTTTTCCTTTTCGTCTAGTTGAGCATTATGTATATCTTGTGTTTGCTTTAAAAATGGCGTCTGAAGCATGTCTGAGTCTTGATATATTGGATCGTTCTAAAATAAAATTTCAATTTAGGACAACTTATAATTGGATGAAACTATACCTCCATCAGTTTCTACACTAAGTAGATAGTTACCCAAATCGTTTCGTTGTGCCATATCAGCAGACGCACGATGTGGACATTTTCTATATTTTAAAAATACTTTCAAAAACCGCTGGTTAAAACCATCAGAAAAGCGCTAATCAAAGCCACTTGGAATGGCCTTTTATAGTTTCATCGTATTTACTATTCGGTTCTGCTGCGAAATTCTGACTTCAAAGCTAAGATTATTGGGACCACATGTAGAACTAAACGTATTTAACTGCATCCCCCGCACCGCTAGCAGTAGAGACAACGTCTGACCCTGAGGTCTAGTTCACAGACAGCCGTTCATGCAACTACATAGATTATTGACAGCGGCTTACAACTGAAGGCGACTACCTCCCTCATTTAAACGACTAAATTGTTTCAAATAAAAGGGTGTCCTTACCATGTCAACGTTACCTCCGCTTTTGACCCTTTCTTTCTTCTGCCTCCTACAACTTAAAAAAGTAAGAGAGGCAGATAATTAGATAAATTGTGTAAATTATTTGTATATATCATAATTTCATTTCCTAAGGCAACTTGGATATCTCGCCTTGTTTCCAGCTTGGGGCCCTTTAAACCTAATGTGATTTAAGTGAGATTGGAGGACACTGGTTTCAACGCAGCGGTTTAACAGTACTATTTTGATAAACAGAATAATGTTGCTTTTAGATCCAAATCACGGAAAATATAGATAAAAGTGATGGAATCTTTTGTCCCTGCCTCCATGAACCGATATCAATTTCTAATATCAATCGAAACAAGTTTCTGTTAAATTCCGGCTACCCTGCAAGCAATGTTTATTGATTTGCAAATTTATACCCTAAAGACTTAAGTGCCGTGGTGGGGGTGGGGGGGGGGGGGCGTAGCCTCTTACACACACTGTTGACAACAACTTCAGTCATATAAGCGCAGGAAACATGGGGTCAAGAGGAACTCCCCTTCATTGATAATTGTTTTTTTTTCTAAATGAACCCACTAAAATTTGATTCTAGATAGACAGATAGATAGATAGATAGATAGATATTACCTTGACATGGAGTGTCCCCTCGAGCACCTGCAAACAAGCTCCACTAATACAATAGTCACGACTACACCGCCTATCACAGCTCCAGCCACCACCCCAGGAGCCAGTGCACCTTCCTCTTGGGCTGGAACTTAAATATGAAACGAAATTATGATTTGGTTAGATTATTGAAAAAATGAATGCACTATTGCATTGAAAGAATTTATATCTTCGCAATAGTAGCCGAAGTGGAGAGAGAGAGACTGGTAGCCATTCAGTGAGTGTCGCATCAGACTAAAAAACAAACGGACTGCAGGCATACAAACAAAATAATGACGACAGACAGACAAAAGGAAAGCAGATAAGCAGAGAGAGAGAGAGAGAGAGAGAGGGGGAAAGAGAGAGAACAAACCTAGATTGGGTGTCGTAATGTCACTCATCGACGTCGTCGTCGACGGCTCAGGCAGCTTCACAACCTTCGTCTCATACCCCCGGTAGGGTACGAGCACACAACCCCCCGTCACCTGTCGACATGTACGCGTACGCCTCTGTACGCAGTCCCCGTCCAAAGCCAATGGATTATTGATCTCAAACAAGTACGGAGTGTCCGATAATTGCTCAGGGCACCATTTCTCCGTCCAGCGCCATTTCCCCGCCGTACCTGTGTCTTCGGTAAACCTGAAGGCACATATGAAGAACCGCCGACAGTCTCCGGGGAAGGCCACGCGTTTGCCATTGAGATCTTTATCACAGTTTAAGTCAGGAGAGCCACATGGCCGTCTGTGATCTAAAAGGTGAAGTAATGCAGATTTTTTTATCAGAAACCATGGGATATATGTCACACGTATTACATACTATTTACATACTTTTTAAAACACTACTGTATATCGGCAGTGGCGTTTATAATTGTCACGCCATGGATTTTATAATATAGGCCTATCTGCCGAATTATCAACGCACTTCCACGGTTTGTATTGTGAATATGTGAGTTTGTAATGTATATTTACCATGTGCATTTACCGGTGATGACGGTTCGGAAACGCCAGATGCAGGGCTCGTGGAGTGAACGGTAGAGGGGCTGGCAGGGCCATTCTGTGCTAGGATTGTGGAACGTCTTACTCCTTCCTCTGATAGAAAAAAAAATGATGAATTTATTACAATAATAGTAGTATAAAATGTAGATAGAATACATAATGTACGTCCACAATTTTGAAAAAAAGACTTGAAGTGTCACAAAAAATGTTACTCACATCCGAAAACATAATCTGCCACTACAAACAACCAGTTAGACATCACCATCAATGACCCC